GCGCGCGCTCCGCTACTGGCGGCCCGAGTTTGGATCCCTGGTGCTCACCGACGCACCGCTTGTCCGGCCATGCTGAGGTGGCGTCCCATACACAGCAACTAGAAGGATGTGCAACTATGACATTCAACTATCTACTGGGGCTTTGGGGAGAAAAAGGGAAAGAAAGGAGGAGGATTGACAATAGATATTAGCTCAGGGCCGATCTTCCTCAGCAAAAAGAGGAAGATTGGCATGGATGTTAGCTCAGGGCTGATCTTCCTTGCAAAAAAAAAAAAAAAAAGAAAGAGGGGTAGAGTTTTTATTTACTAAAACAAAACAAATGAAAACAGTAAAAGTAACATAAAATATTTGAAAATAGAAAAAGGAAAAAAAATCCAAACACCTTATAATTAATTTAATGTATTTCTTTACAGTCTTTACATATGCATATGTTGTAGTGTTTTTTAAATTATAAAACACTACATGCTTTTAAAAAAATATGCACAATACAAAGAGGATTAAAGATAGGAAGTCCACTCCTCTTCCCATACTGAAAACACCCTCCTAAAGAGTAACCACTGTTGAGAACCGTTAAAGCATGGCATGGAGGTTTTTTTCCTTCTCTCTTTCCTTTTAAGTAAAAGATATTTTGGTCTACTACATATCATTTTGCAATTTGCTTGTTTTCATTCCTCAGTGTGGCAAGAGCATGTTTCCACTTAAGTACATGCAGATTCATGTCTCAGGACTTTTGTGAAGTGAGTTAATACTTGCAAAGCACTTGAGAAAATGCCTTGCTCCTAGAAAGCACTCAGTAATTATTAGTTGTTATGTTTGTCATTGTCTCCTCTATTCCATTCTTTTAAATGGATATATGGTATTCTATAGTTTGGATATAGCATAGTTTATTTTTGTGATGACCTAAATTGTCTTACATTTTTGCAATTACAAATAATCCTTGCATAATTGTGTGGGTTTTTCTGTAGGATAAACTCCTTGAAATAAAATTCTTAGGTCAGAGATTAAGCATATTTTAGTCTAGTAGGATACTATCAAATTTCCTCCGAAAATGCTGTGACAATTTACACTCTTCACTGACTGTGCATGAGCCTGCTCATTTCTCCACATCCTTGCTTATATTGGATATCATCAGTCTTTTGCGTTTTAAGTGAAATGATAGGCAATGCACATTTTTTTTTACATAGTTTAAGCATAGTATGCAGGGATTTTTATATCTTATTTTTTCCCATTTAACATATATCCATTTTTATATCGGTAGGAATTTAATGGATGAAATAATGGAGCTCCCAGTTAGAAGGTAGAAAAAAAGAGTGGTGCTTATTCCAGGAATAAGTACAAATGGTGCATTGTTGCTAAAGTATGGGGGGAAAATCCTTGAAATTGGGTTGTGCTGAATGGTCCAAAACATTAAATGTCTAATGCTTTTGTCCTTAATTTAATAACTCCTCAGAAGCTGTCGAAGGCTTTGGGGGAGAGGAGTGACATGATGAGAATTGTGCTTTAGGAAAATAATGATCCTGTGGTGTTGTGTAGGACAGATTAGAATAGAGATGCAGAAACAGGGAGACCAATGGAGAGTGTTTCATTAATCTGGGTGACAGGTAATGAAGGCTTTGTGCTTGGAGGTGAGGGCAGAATGGAAAATAGCAGACAAATGTGAAAGAGGGGATGGAAAGTAGAAGAGAGATGCAAGAGGGAGAGGTAGCAGTGAGAAAGGGTGGAGGTGGAATCTGCAGAGCTTGTTTGAAAACAGGTCCAAAGGAATGGTTGGAGTCAAGTCCTGAGATTTGGGGTTTCAAGTCTTGCTGACTAGAAATGTGTTGACAGGCCAACATCAGAATAGGAAAGTCAGATGCAAGAACTAGTCTGGAGGATAAGATGATGAATTTCATTTCAGACAAATTGAGCTTATTGTCATCCAGCTGGAAATCTATACACAGTTGGAAATTTGAGTCAAAGCGTTGCAGAGATGTGGGGTGGGGGCAATTGAAAGATTTAGGAAACATTATCCTAGGGGTGATAATTGAGGCCATGGAAGTGATGAGCGTGCAGAGAAATGCAGGGGCCAAAGGAAAAAGTCTGTGGATGGATATCTTCATGTAAGGGGCATGAAGAGGAATCAGACTTAATTGCAATATTTTTTACAATGACTATTTCTAATGTTTAACTTTGGATCTAATTAGACTGTCTTTCACTGCCCCAAAAGTCCATTCTTAGTTTTTTCTTTCTACCTCTGGTTCTTTTATTGCTCCAACTCAAATTGTGCTCATTCCAAATTCCTTTTCCTCTCAAATGCCTCATTTTACTTACTATGTCAGCTTTAAGGGTCTCCTTTGAAGCTGTGGATGGCTTAATGGTTAAAACCTCAGAAACTAGACTAGAGACCCTATTTTTTACCACTCATTTGCTGTGACTTTGGCAGGTGTCTTAATCAGCGCCCTATTTTACATATTGGGGACAATAATACGCCCCACACCTTCTTGGGTTGTTTTCAGGAATACATGCTAAGTCCTTGACATGATGCCTCATGTGTTGCAAGCCCTTAGTAATTGTTAGCTCTTCTATAATTATTTTCTCCTGTACCTCTAAATTTCTATAATGATATGCATTTTTTACCTAGCTGTCTCTGTGTGATTTTAGGCAATAGTTTTTTATAACCTCTGTGAGCTTCAGTTTCCGTACAACAAAAAAACCTTTGTATGTTTCTTCCAAGCATTAGAGTTCATACAAATAAAGTACGTACTGTGATGACTGGACTAGAACTGGCGTTCAATAAATAGTAACATCATTTAAATGATAAATTAATGGTATTTGCTCTGGTTTCATCGATTAGTTTTGTGTCTTTGGAGAAGGGGCCATCCTACTTAGCATCTCATTGTGTTTTGAGGACAGGGTTATTATAAGGGCTGTGTAGAATGATCCAGATGAAATCTCTATAACATGTAATAGGATATTTGCTTCCAATCATTTTTTCCAGAGAATGAATAAAGAAGATGGAAAACTTCCTTGCTGATGATACTGTGATTAGGGGAATCAGGATTAGATTGCGGAGCTCCCAATTACTTTTCTTCAGTGGCTTTTCTCTGCCTTTCTCTTCTGTTTTTCTTGTTTTCACTTAAACTCTAAACTCTTTTTCAGTATTCTTTCAACCATCTTAAGTTGTCAGACCTGACAGATCCCAAATTTGTATTCAATGGGCCATTTTTTTATGCTTTTGTTTTTTAGAACCGTGTCTGAAAATGTCATAACTCCAATTGTTAATTTAAAAAAATCATTTTTCTCTGTGCTTCCTGCTGTGAAAATGGAGTCTGAAACACTTTCATCTGAGGAAGTGGAAATACTTGACCTATTTTTCAATTTCCCTATAATTTGAGATTCAGTTATTAAAGTCAATTTAATTCTTGATGTGGAAGTTTTCTGTGAACTTAAAGTTAAATTACTGGAAAGAAGGGGAGCAAATTTTCTGAAATATTTAAGATGGCTTGAACAAATTAAATGCAGACGAAAGAAATATATGAAAATCTCAGTTGTCTAACCACAACAGTGTTCAGAGGAAATTAGCACATACTGGTGTGATGGAAAGTTAATAATGATAATAAATAATGGCAATTACCATTTATTGGCAATTTGGTGTTTTTAGGATTGAACTAGTTGTTTTTACATCCATTCTTTTAGACGCTTTAGTTCTATGAAAGAAATCTCTACATTGCTTCTCAGACACATAGAGTGGACTTAACATTCTGAATTAGGTAGGCTAATTTAGATTTTTGTCACAATATGCCCCCACTCACATTGTTCATTGTGAAATTTGGATCCTTGATGGACCTGTTTACTTTCTACATCCTTCTCTCTCCAAGGAGGGAGCAGTGGTGTAGAGAACATGGGTAAGAGAGAACATGGATACTGGAGTTAGATTTAGGTTCTAATCTTCGAAGTATAGAGGATTTAGGGTACATTCCCTGGCCTCAGTTTCTTCATCTCTAAAATGAAGATAATATCTGCTTGTTGTAGGAATTATGTCAGAAGTAATATCTACCAGATTCTCACCAAATGTTTGTTTCTTTTTCTTTTTCTCCATGCTATGTCCCCTTTCTTCCCCCCTCTATAGTAAAACTGTAATCCTTTTCTTGCTTTTTGTCAAAGAAATTTCATTGCTTTCTATATATATTTCCTATGCTTAGTCTTAACTTTTCTGACTTTATCAGTCTCCTTATCCTTCTCTGGTTCTACCTATTTTTCTAAAACTCTTTCCGCCTAACTTGGCCACTCTCTAGGTGAACACATGTTTTACCTCTAACCTGAGCCCCTCTAGGTTTTTGGTCACAGGCCTGCCAGGTTTGCCCCAGATCCTAGATGAAATGCTGACCTTACAAATGTGCTGTGTCCCAAAATTAATTTCTAATTCAGCTTGGAATTTCAGTTCCATTTTCTAATAGAAGCAATATTATAAATGGTGGTTCTGTTTCTAGGTCAAAAGCCTAGAAACAAAAGCATGTTTAACTCATAGATTAATTGAAATATTTTATACTTGTAACAAAGTGAAAGAAAATAATGCCATTGTAATTCTAGTGATAAAATAAAATGAAAACAATATTGAGTAAGAAGTAGTTATTTACCTCAAACATAGTTTGTAGAATGTAGTTGGTGGAAATTCTGAAAGGAGCATTCAAGTGCTCTAGCGATTGCAGTGTTTTTAAATTATGGCTAATTAAAAATTTTTTTTTCTCATACAGAAGGTCACTGTGAGAATGCTAATTTATTAGCCATATTTATAGTTTTTGTTCAGCTTCACAAAAGAGAGAATAAGACATTTTCCATGGGTAAATCCATCTCCTATCTTCAAAATCCTCCCTAAGGCTTGGCTTGTTTGTTTTTTCTTTAGTTCTGAGAACTCTCCTTTTGTACTGAAATTCTTGATACTCCTAATTTAGAACTTGATTCAAGGCTGAAACTAAATGGTCTAAATATGCCATAAGATAATGTTTTTCAAACTGCAAGTTAAGATCCATTGGTAGGTTGTGAAATAACAATTCAGAAGGATGTAACCAGCATAAAAAACAGGAAGGAATAGAAAATGTATAAGTTTATCACATGTGGTTAAAGGTAAATAATGTCTCTTGAAATGTTTGGTGGGTCATAATCTAAAAATATTTCTTACTTTGGGTGTGGTTAAAAAATTAAATAAGCCCACTGAAGATAGCAAAAAAAAAGTCCTTTTCCAAATTATTGGATATTTTGTAGCAAACTCTTTTGGTTAAGGTTTTGCTTTTTTTATGGCTCTTTCTTCATAGTTAAGAAAACTTTGTTAGCGCATACTTCTGCATCAATTAAGACACTCAGTGTGTGCTTACACTCATATCTTAGGTAATATAGAGTGGGTGTTTCTGCTGAATTCTCATGATTTTTGTGTGCATATTGACTTTTGAACTCCTTTGATGCCTTAATTTAAAATGAATGACTAACAAGAGCTAGAGCTTGGAAGCAATATGACTAGACTCGATTAGTTATTTACTAGCTTAATCATCTGAGATGGTTTCAAAAGATGTGCTTTCCTCCATTTTTTTCTTTTTCTCACATGTTTTTGGAGTAGTACAATAAAAAGACATTTAATGAGCAATTTATTTAAAAAATTCTTAATTAACACACTCCTTTTTTCTAATGACTTTCTTACATCTAAATATTTTTCAATTGCATCCTTCTCATTTGATCTGAATTTTACTTTGTTGTAATAAATATAGTGTCCTATATTTATCATATATCACTTGCCTTTGTGGTCTACAATAACAATAATAATTACACATTCATCCAAGTACAAGAATTTGGTATTTAAATAATAAAGAATACATTTGTTTTGAAGTTTTATCTTTGCGTGAGATGTATGTAGAACACGGTATAAGCAGTCATTTTTTTTTTTTCTAAATGCCTGTATTTCAGGCAAGAAAGAAAACTATATAAATCTCATCAGGTTTGGGAATATTTCAGTTAGAGAATCAGGGTAACCTCTCTTTTAATCTTTTAAACTAATAGATCCTTCTTTGTCCTGGGATGACAAAATGCAAGTTATGATATTTTTTGTTTTGTTCTCAATATTGTATCCATGGTAGAATGTGAATATTAAAAACTTTAAAAAATTGTACAAAATTGGTGGAGTTTTCCCAGTGCTTGTAGGATGACCTCATAATTTAATGGCTCATTATCCACATTACAAAATTTTAACATATGTTTTCATGAATAACTCCCTATTCCCTTTAAAACTATGCAATCTTGGCATAGGTTGGCTAATGAATTAATGTATTAGTTTGAAAAAAGGCTGTCCCTTGAATCATTAACTAGAAAACCGTCATTAGCCATTATAATGAAAATAGAACTTCACCTTGACTGGTCAGCATCTGACCGAGGACAAAGAAATTGCTGTTGTCTACTTCTCTCTCTGACCTTATTTGTTATATTTTTCTAATGAATGACAGGTAGTGGTGACTTAGTTACTTCTCTTTCCGGTCTTATACTTCTTGCTCTAATAATTCCCGATAGGCTTTTCCACTTTGCTTTCCGAAAATCGTGTTAGTGATGAAGGTGACCCTGAATTTATTCTGGTTCTCCTGCTATATTTTGCAAAAGAAGAAACTGAGACATAGATTAAGTGACTGGATTGACATTATTCAGCAACCTAGCGCATGGCAGAGACGAGAAATCAAGTCTTGTTTCCACTTTCACCTGACAGGATGTCAGTGCCAAATAAATATTTGTTAAACTGAACTAACTCTTTCCCTATATTGTCCTTTAGGTGAATGGCACATTATTGCATTTAATCTTCATAATAACTTGGCTAAGGTCATATGGTTAAAACTATGACCTTGATCCTCTCCAGTAAATCTTGCCTGGTCCCAAAAGCAGGTCTACCCCTAACAAAAGGACCTGGAAGCCATGTTTGAGTAGAAAAGTCTCCTACTACTCTACCCTTTAGAAGTTATTTTCTTAAATATTGTTTCCTATAATAGTTAACCATTTTCAAAGTTATGCTTTTCCTATGAGTCTACAGAGGAGTCTTTTGCTTCTTTTATGCTATAGATTTTTTAGAAGCTCTTGATTGATTCATTTATTCCTCTTGCTCATCCTTAAATGGGAAAAATTCTACCTAGCTTTGATATTTGATAAAAAATAGGGGTATAGAATACTGTACTATCTACAGGTATATAGATCCTGTAGTCCTATCTGTAAGATCCTATACTATCTACTCTGTAGCTGCTGGTATAATGTGCAGGGCTGGTTAAAGTGTGTAGCTCCCAGCACAATTTCTGGTATCTAGCAGGAATTCATGTAGTTTAGCTCTGGTCCAATGTGGGGTTTATAATTTATATGATTATAAAAAGATAATTTGTTCTAGTGATTCTAAGGGTGCTTTTATTTTATCTATGACCAGATCTATGATATAGAAAACTCCATTTCTATACAGAATGAACTGCTTCTTGGGGTCTTCCCATCTGCAGCCTGTCCACAGTATTGACTTTATTTATAGCCATGTAGCATGTCCCTGCCCATCTACCTCTAATCTTGTTGTATGCCATGATTTGCAGGTTCTGAATATATACATGAAGTGAATTGGTTGATGTGGGCTAGAAGAGGGTGGAACTGATGTAACATAGCTGGTTTTCTATTAGGTAGATGGTAAGAAGCAGATAAACTGGATGAGAGAAGAAAATTGCTTGGGCTGAGGATCGTGTTTCTTAATTCAGAAGTATCTGGGTTATAGGTAATAGAAATATTGTCTCTTGCAGTTGATTGCCTGTTATCCTCAGTTTTCAGTATTGCAAATTAAATTTCCCATCCTATTACAATGATTAGTTTAATGGGAATTTGGGAGAAGGTATATCAGAGATTTATTCAGGTGGTGATATTAAAATCCAGAAGAAACATTTCTTATTTGATCTTTAAGCTTTTTAGAATGAAGTGGAGTAAAACTTTTTGCTGTTATTGGACTAGTTCATTATTTCACAATCATGCTAATGAAAGCTAACATTTATTATCTTCTTTGTCAGACTTTGGGCTATATCTTCATTTTTTTAAAATAACTTTGAAAGGAGGGTCTTAGTTTCTTCATTTTTCAGGTAAGAAAGGGGAGGCTTAAGTGACTTGTTTAAAGTCTCATAATTGGTAATTGGTAGAGCTGAGATTCAAATCCAGGTCAAACTTCATATATCACATTCTTTTTATTATGTATATTTGAGATACGATTAGCTGATTATTGAAAGCTAGTAGTTATCTAGAATTACTATCCTGTGATGTGAAAGCTTTTATATTTTAATTACATTTGAAAATAATGTGCTTTTAATCTTCTTTTTGAGATGGCAGTTCCTGGATTTACACTTGGTGCCTTCATACTTCTGTTGCACGTTAGTTCTGTGGCTAATTATCCCAATGGAAAAATAACAAATTCATGTCATAGAATGATTCCTGAGCATGGTCATAGCCCACAATCTGATCCTGTTCACCACATTTCAGTGAGTCAGATGACATTCAGACCAGGAGATCAGATTAAAGGTACTGTGGGGATTAACTATTTGTATTTTGAGTTTCCCTCTTTTACTGTACATTGACTCTTTATTACTATTGGATTTATACAGTTTCATTTAAATCTGTTCACCTATTTTCATAAGATACCGTCATCTTATACTTCTCATTTTGTGTTTAACTACTACGGATGACTATATTACTTAAGTAGTATATCTACTCCCTATTCAGAACAGGTTTTAAAATATGTTTTTTTGTTATTTAATATATCTTCATTAACAGTACTATTAACTCAATAGAATAGGAAAATAAAGTTTATCTAGTTTAAGATATAATAAACTCTTATCCTTCTTGATATAGTATAATCTCTTGTGTTTCCCTGATTCTTCTGGCAAAATGTAAGCTGACTGTTAAAGGTATATCTATAACAGTATTTTAAAAACTATACTCTGCAACCCTAGAAATGCAAAATATTATTGGATACTCTAACAAAAACAATGTATGGGGGCTGGCCCAGTGGTGTAGCAGTTAAGTTTGTGCGTTCTGCTTCAGCAGCCTGGGGTTCGCAGGTTGGGATCATGGGCACGGACCTACTCACCGCTCATCAAGCATCAGCACTCATCAAGCCATGCTGAGGCAGCGTCCCACATAGAAGAACTAGAAGGACTTACAACTAGGATATACAACTATGTACTGGGGCTTTGGGGAGTAAAAAAAAAAGAAAAGGAGGAGGATTGGCAACAGATGTTAGCTCAGGGCCAATCTTCCTCCAAAAAAATAAAATAAAATAAATTTATTTAAAGGAAAACAACAACGTATGGAAAAGTAAGTTTGGAACACTTTGTGTGTTATGTGTAACATACTTCTGAGAGTTTCATGCTGCACAGTAGGATGTTAAAGGCCCTGAGAGGTTTGCAGTAAAGAAACAAGTATTTACTTTTGTCAAGCATTTTTTGAACTAATTTGGCCCATGGACTGCCCCCTGACCATCACCTATCATTTTTTCCCCTGTGGAATGGCAACTAACATCTCATGGAATGAGTGTCCTGTAGAACACGGTTTAGAACTTTGTTGGATGATTTCTACTGTTCTCTCTCCTGGAGCAGTTTTGTATACATTCACCTAATTCTAACTGTGATATGCCTCTTCTAAACAGTTTCCTTTTTGAGATGATGTTAAACCTCTTATCTTTTTGTCTGTTTCTCAGTTACTTTGTCAGGGTTACCCTTTAAAGGCTTTCTCTTAGAAGCACGTGACACTGAGGATTTGAGTGGTTCTCCTATTGGCTCCTTCACATTGATTGACAGTCAAGTGTCACAGCTTCTGACCTGTGAAGATATACAGGTTTGTGTTTAGTTTGAAACTGATTTCTGTCCGTTTCCATGGGTCTTTTCACTACAGGATGGTTGTTGCAAGATAAACAACGACGTTACCCATGTTCTGCAGACATCTAAATAGATTCACAATGATCAAACTTTCCCCCTAATTTTACTACTGGCAATATATTTTTACACATCAGCATCCTAGAAAAAGTAGGACAGTAGCTTGAAGAGTTTATAGGTTTTGATATTTTGTATAATATTGACTCTTATTAGATTGATTTTTGAAGGGTGTTAATATTGAAGATAGAGTTCTAGAGTGGGACAGAGGTATAATTTTTGTCATTCATTCATTTAGTAAAAATTTCTTATACCAGGAACTGTCCTGGGTGCAAGGGATATGGTGATGAATGAGACTTACTCTTGTTTCTTGATGAACTCATAGCCTTACACATAAGTAAAACATATGGACATATGACATATGGTACATAAGTAGAACATATGGATATAGGACAGACACATATGTAGAACAGTGTGATAACCTAGATTAGAAGCATACACAGGGTGAGTGGGAAGCATAGCAGGGGGTGTCACACACAGGCTGGAGGGAATTGAGAGAGAGCTGCTTAGAGGAGGCGATCTCCACACTAGGTCTCAAAGAATGAGTAAGGATTTGCCAGGTCCATAAAAGTGGGAAATAAGATTGTTCAAGAAAAAGGAATTACTAAAATATAATGCTACATATTCAGAGGCAGGAATTTTTTCTTTTGATGAATTGCCTATATTCTATTTATATCTATTAATGGAAGGAGTATAAATTTATAGTATAAATGAAATAATGAGCAGGCTCTATAGAGCATTAACACATCCAGTATTCATAACTTTCTTCACTTCTTAAATTTCTGCTGACTCTAATTGATTCATAGATCCAGCTGCTAATCTGGTGTCAACCAGTCAACATGCATTTATTGAGTACCTGAGTCCCTGATCTAAATAAAATAGTCTTTACCAGAATGCCAAGGTCATGAATAATAAATTACTTTGCAAAATAATAGTAATTCCAGCCATGCTGAGCTATTGAGTGACTGAATGGTAGTTCTTTTCCATTTTATTTCAGGGATCAGCTGTGAGCCACACAAATCCATCCAAAAAAACAGAAATTAAAGTCTACTGGAATGCTCCCAGCAGTGCCCCGAATCATATACAGTTTCTGTGAGTAGAAGAGTTTATAACTTTGTAACTAGTATAATTGAAACAATAATGGTCTGTATCACTTTTTATACCTATTAGACATTCACCTGTTTTAGGAGAGGTCTGGTACAGTAATGACACTGCCTTAGTGATGTAAGTGGTTATTTTGCTTTTTTGTTTGTTTTTTCTACCTAACACAGGGCCTGGCACCTAACAGGCACTTAATAGACATTTGTTGAGTGAATGAAGTGTTTACACTGCCTTCACACTAATCGGAGCCATCAATTAATACTTCAGTCTATATGATATATGGACTAATAATTTTAGATTTGTTCTTGCCTTGGTAGGAGAATATGAAAAAAACAGACCTGCAATTTGGATGACTTTTTTGTAGTGTTATGACTTGCAGATTAGATCGTTAGAAACGTTAAGACCCTGCTTGCCCTCAGAATTGTGAAATTCAGCAGAATTAGAATGGCACTTCTGCCTTAATCCTATGTGCAAGGGGAAATGGAATGTCATAAAGCCATGTAATGATTCCTGAGTGGTGTTATAGACATGTATATATATATTTTAATTATTGTATTGTGGTCATATTGGCTTGTAACCTTTTTGAAATTTCAGGAGTACATTATTATATATCAGTTTCTGTATAGACTGCATCGTGTTCACCACCAATAGTATAGACACATATTTTGAGGGAAGAATTGCTCTCCTAATATGTCTCCATTTTTTACTTCACTTTGCGCACAGGTCCCCAGCACAGAGTAACACAGCTTTGCACCTGAGTGTTGTGTGGAATGTGAAAAAGGGGATATGACCCCTGTAACAGCTGGCAGTTGCTTATGCAGCCCCTATATTGCTTCTTGCTGTAGCTCCCTGCTACACATGCCCTTTGGAATAATTTGAACAGCACACTATGAAATGAGTAGTAGTAGTATATTCTTTATATGTCACGGAATAGAAATCTGTGCAGTTTAGTCCCTGGACCTGGCATTCAAGGCTGCTGTGACTATGCCCAAAGTACAGACAAGTAAGAGGAGACAGAGCAAGAGAGAGAGAAATAAAGAGAGGGCAATAAAAGTTCGTTTAGTGATAGGATGGAAGGCAGTCATTAGAGATTTGCCTCAGACAAAATTAGTAGTACTGTTAGGTACTATTAAGTCGTGTGTCCCTAGTTCATTCCTTTTTTTCTTTTAATTTTTTTTTTTTTTGATTTGATTATGATGGGCCACCATCAGGGTTCTGTCTAATCTCACTGCTACTGCATTTCAGAGTCACGGTTGTTGAGAAGTATAAAATCTACTGGGTGAAGATTCCTGGTCCTATAATTTCACAACCAAACGCACTTCCTTTTACAACCCCTGAAACTACAATTGCACATTTGTCAACATTACCTCCAGTCTCCCATTTAACCAAATCAGTAAGTAACATTTTTATGGTTTCACCAAATGCAATCTAAAATAACAACTTCCTTGGAAATTGTGGTTCTATGCTTGGTGAAGTGTGTATGGAAGCAGCTGTACTGGGTCGTGATAGTGAGATTTTGGGTTCTCTGTGGGAAATCTGAAGGAAGTCTTCATTGCAACATTATGACTTATAGGTTAGAATAAAGGGAGTGCAAGACCCTGCATGTTCAAGGTGTGGTTATGACATTCACACATAGTCTATACTGGCAGTGGATATGTTTTCATTTGAAAATAAATCTGATGAAGCAGCAGCTTTCTTCCTTTTTTTTTTTTTTTAAACACAGCCAAATATTAAACATGGAGAGGGAGCTTGAAGCTTAAGCTAAATTTAGACAAGATTTGGAGGAGAATCTTGAGATGGTGATATAACTCTTAGATCTCACTTCATGAAGACCAGTGAGTACTGGGGAATTCTAAGTGCTGAACCATAGAAACTCTTTTGCAAGCTCATCAGCTAGAATTCCACTTAGGCCCTTTGATTCAAAAGAATTACAATTAAAGAAAACATATCTTAGAAAGGGTAATGCATATTAGAAACATTAGAAAGGTTTTACTAAAAGCAATGCTGATAAATTAGACTTAGGGATTCAGAAGTGAATGTAATAAGAAATGTCTTAGGGCAGGTTGTTACAGTTGAAAGAACAAACTTGGTCCTGAATCCTGACTTGTTGACTTTCGGGGTGACTTTGGACGAATTACTTAATTCTTAGTCTCAGTTTCTTCACCTATAAAATGAAAAATAATAATATCTAACTCTTAGATAGCATCACTATGAGAATTAAACAATGTGACGAATATAAGGTTTCTAACTGCTTTGCACTTAATAGATATCCAGTAATGTTAGTTCCTTTTTTCTTTTCCTTCCCTTTTTTATCTTTTTATAACTCATTGTTCTCTTAGGACAGACTACGTAAGGCACTTGTACTCCTGTGTAAAGTCTCATTTTGTTTTCCTTCTCTTCTACATTTTGCAAAATAGGACCATCATATTTGATTACATTAATATGAATGTGGCACTTTTGTTTGACCATACAATTAGGTCTGTTATTTACATTAATTCTTAGTTTAGTCTTAACGCTTATGTATTTAAAATCTGCTTTAGGGGAATAAATAGTCACTTTGGACCTGAGCTTCCCAGTAGAAATCTGTAGACAAGATTCTTGTCTTTCCATATGTTCGCATAAAAGGCGTTAGCTCTTGATAGAGCTTTTGTTGTGTCTTTGTGCCAAGTTTATAATCTCTGATTATAGAGAGGTTCATTCAGCATCATAGGATTATAGCATTTGTAGAGCCGGAAGAGAACTCAGGGTCTACTTTGTTCAGTCCCTGTTGTATAGTTGAAGGTAAAGGGACCCTGAGAGAATAAGTGCTTTAGCAAACGTGATGGATTAAAGCAGAAAGCAGAGACCAAAACCCAAGTTTTCCGGTTCCTAGTGGCTTATTCTCTTCACTCTACTGTGATTTCACTTTAAAGTCCCGTGAAATAATAAGAAATATGTGCATTGGTCTCTGTCTCCCATTCCTGCTAATATTTGGTCTTTGACCCTGGTTCCTGACTCAGAGCTCCTAAAACCCTTGGAATTTCTTTCCTAAGTGATAAGAGCACTCAGAGCATCTTTTGATCTAATGAGGTGACTCTTGTTTGGCTCCTGGATGGGGCCCGGTCACCAGAAAGACCAAGCCATGATTAGAAGCTTGGAACTTACAGCACCCCACTGCCTATTCTCCAGAGAGGAGAGAAAGGCTGAAAATTGAGTTAATAATTGATCATGCCTACGTGATGAAGCCTCCATAAAAATCCCAAAAGTATGGGATTTAGAGAGCTCCCAGGTTGCTGAACACGTGGAGGTGCTGGGAAGGTCGTGCCTCAGAGAGGTCGTGGAAGCTTTGCACCCCTTCCCACATACCTTCCCCTATGCATCTCTTTCATCTGGCTGTTCCCGGATTGTATCCTTTTATAATAACAAATTCGTAATCTAGTAAGTAAACTGTTTTCCTGAGTTCTGTAAGCCATCCTAGCAAATTATCAAGCCCGAGGAGGGGGTCATAGGAACCTCCAATTTATGGCTGATCAGTCAGAAGTACAGGTGACAATCTGGGACTTGTGATTGGCATCTGAAATGGGGACAGCCTTGTGGGACTGAGCCCTTACCTTGTGGGATCTGACACTAACTTCAGGTAGACAGTGTCAGAAAGGAATTGAATTGTAGGACACTCAGTGCCCGCAGAGAATTGCAGAATTGCTTAGTGTGGGAAACACTCCTCGTACATTTGGGGCCAGAAGTATTGGTAGAGTAGAAGAAGAAATTAGAGTTTTTTCTATCCAGTTCTCGTTAAATCTGCTTACATAAAGTAATGTTTAGCTCTTTGCTGAAATGTACTGTTACAGCCCATTCTAACAAGATGACTGCTCATTTGCTCTGTCAAATTGTAGAGCTGACATTTTTTGACCTCTTCCTCTTATTTCCCATGCCAAGAAGCTCTGAATTAAATCATAGTAGATTATTCTTTTTTATCCCCAACTAAATTATTACTATTACTTGGAGTGGCAGTATATATGGGAGTAACCATTTTTTCTTATATTATTTTAATATCAAATTTGAACCTGAATTCTAGAAGCAGAGTCCAGGGTCTAAATATAAAAACTTGCTAAGGGTTGGTTTGTTTGCTTTTTAAAATTCCATCTCTGAAAACTAGAGGATACCTTTTAGAAAAGAATGTCAATGTGGACTTCAGTATTCCCTGAGAAGTTTCTCAAAATTTACTGGAACTTCGCTCCAGGACATAATTAATGTGAAATATTGTGTGTATTAAAGGGACTTTTAATACTCATGCACAATTACAGTCCAACTAGTGTTGTGTCTTCCAAATTTTAATTAAAATTAATTAAGTTTAAAAGTTCACAAGCTGACTACTGCTCTGGTCATTTCTAATTTGGGATGTGTCTTTTGTTCTCTTATTTGAATCCTTATTATGAAAAGGTGTTCTTGTTAAAACCTGTACTTCAGGGTAGCGGCTCTTCTGTCATTGGAAATGAACTGCTTGTTTGATAATTAAGACTTTCCCCCTCCCCCGTCATTTTTCTAGTTCAATGCTTCAGACTGTGGAAACAAGAAGTTCTGTATTAGGAGTCCATTGAGCTGTGACCCAGAGAAGGAGCGTGCCTGTTTTTTCTTGTCCTTCACACGAGATGACCAGTCAGTGATGGTTGAAATGAGCGGTCCCAGTCAAGGCTACTTATCCTTTGCATTTTCTCATGACCGATGGATGGTTTGTATCTTGCACTTACATAATGGTAATGAAAGGAGAATCACTGGAGTGAGGGCTAATCAATGGCAGTTGAGCTGTTTGTTCCAGAGTCGAATTATCGTACTGAAGCGGGGAATGGGAAGGGAAGGGAAGGAGAAACTAAGAACAGATTCTAAGTTAAACAGCTTTGAGTGTTTCAGGTTTTTAACAGTTGGGCAATTACATACCTCTAAGAACAGGCTGTCTGTTGTAAGGGAAGTTAGGAAAATTATTTTATTTCCAGTGGATTTGCTACTTTATCTTTCTGTCCATCTCTGTCTGTCTATCTCTCTGTGATAAAGCAGGAAGTGCAGTTAAAAGAAAATTGCTCTGCATAAAATCTCATGTTGTTTGCGATGCTTTTCAAATCATAGTTGTTTTCTCACGTGGTCAGCAACTACCGCATGGGTTGCTGCTCTTGGTCTCCCCATTTTGGTAGTCATTGGTGCCTTTCCTAAACAGAGAATTAAACCTTGCATGTCCAGGCAAAAATGTATTCTTTACCAGTAGGTTCCTTTGTCAGATCTACAGAAGGCAGCGTTTGTTTTAAGCTGATTCTTGCTCTCCTTGGTAGTGCTGAGTGGATTAAAGGATTCTGTAGGTGGCAGCCTTGTGCTGTGGTGTGGAAAAGCAGAGTGCGGCATTAGCATCCTGATTTTCCAGGAACAAGGAAGAGGGTATTGTGGCCAGGGAACGCGTCAGTCCTGTTCAAGCAGAGTTGGCAGTGGGGGGCGGGGATTACTCCAAATGGAGACAGTCTCTTACTTCCACATTAGCAAAGGCAAGGAGTCTTTTCTTGAGAGTTTTCTTCCTGTCAGGTTTTAAACTTAACATCACTTCTTTAGGGAGTTGTATCTCGAAAAAAAGAAGAACTCTGAGGTTCTGTGATAGAAGAACTCATGTTTTCCCTAAAAGTGCACTCTGATCACATTGGTCCTTGTACACTGATTGCAAGTATTGCAGGAAGCCAAGTGTAAATTTTTTGGGGGGGATGACGTTACAATATATTCATATGACCTATATATTTTACCAAATAGTTCTAGAATGCACTTCTCATCCTTTTTCATTAAACAAAGGATATACCTTAAACCTCTGAGATACAAGGTACCATATAAGACATTAAGAATATAACGTATAAGAAATTATGACTCCATTTTAAAGTTGCTTTTCTGGGAAATTTTATACTTGCCCAGATGATGATGCAATTGTTCAAAACATTTTCATTTCCCTTTTGTAATTGGCATCAGACCTTTGGCATATTCTTTTGGATATTCTCAGTTCTGGCAAAAATGAAGCAAGTTTGGGGCATAAGGTGGATAATGAGGCTAAGTTAAAAATAAAATCTGACTACAAAGCAATAAGGAAAGATGGTGGTAGTGGTGATTGTTGTGTGAATGTGATGGAACTGGTTATGAAGGAAATTCTTAAGATGAGTCTGACAAGGATTAACAAAGGTAGCCTTGTTGGGGTAAGTGTGTAGTTTCTTTAGGGTTCACGTCTAAGGTACTGTACTCACTTAGATATGTGTTCTAGTCACTTAAATAAAAAACATTCCAGTCACTTTATAGCCAAACTTCATGCAATAGAATACTAACACATTTCCTTTTCTGATCACATAAAATCTGTCAGCAAGAGGAAAAGACACTATTGTTGCATTGAGTGTGGTGATGAGGACCCTACAAGTAGACCAGTTATTTCTCTTTTAAGTTGTAGGCATAGAAGGCACAAAAGTGTTTATCTCTAATTCAAGATAATATTTATCTTACTTAGAAATGTTATGTCTCTAGTATAGTACTCATCAAAAATGTTTATAAAAAAGATTTAATTATGCAGGTGCAGTTGATTTATAGAGCAATCCTATTTAATGATTAAATTAATCTGTACACCTGTCTGCCTAAATTGGGGAAAATAAATCATCCTCAAAAAATATTTTTAAAGTGATTATTTCTATTTTTGGTTATTTTTAAATTTTTAGGGTATTTTTATGACTTGCTATTTCTTTTCACTATGTAGTGTAAATTTAAATACTTAAGATATCTGATGTTATGAATACTGATTAGATAAACTAAATTATACCTTTTTTTTCAATTGGGCTTGTAAATTAATGCTAGCAGTTGTTTTGGTATTAGACCTCATCACTAAAATTGATGAAAAATATAGTTGTCCATATTTTTTGCTAACAATGATGTGCTAGTGTTTGAATTTTAACTGAATTTCAAAGTACACACATCTTCCCCATCTCAGATATTTTTTTTTGTGTGTGTGAGGAAGATCAGCCCTGAGCTAACATCCAATGCCAATCCTCCTTTTTGCTGAGGAAGATTGGCCCTGGGCTAACATCTGTGCCCATCTTCCTCTACTTTATGTGGGACGACGCCACAACATGGCTTGACAAGTGGTGTGTCGGTGCACGCCTGGGATCCGAACCTGCAAACCCTCCGGCCGCTGAAGCGGAGCGCGCACACTTAACTGCTGCACCACCGGGAAGGCCCCTCAGATATTTTGTTAAATGATATAAAGTATATCAAGTATACACACTATATCAGCTTCTGTTTTTTTCCTTCTCCTGCTCAGTATTATCTTGTTCTATACATAATTTGTCAATGCTTAAATTCCAGAATGTTCCCAGTCCTGGCCTCTCTTGTACTCCAGATTGGGATTTCCAGCTGCCAGCTGGTCTCATCCAGATGAGTGTTCTTGGACAACACAAACCATCACCCATAAAACTGAACTTATTATCTTCCCTCCTAATGTCCTCCAGGCTCCCCATTCTTGGGGATCAACAACAGTATTAAAAAAGTAGCTACCATTATTGATTTCTTGCTTCGTTTCAGATGCTGTCCTGGGCAATTTTGTAGACTGTCTCATTCATTGCTGCCACCATCTTCTCTGGTGTTCAGGGAAATTTTGGTTGTGACTTTGACTTTTCCTTTTTATTCACCTCTAAGGTCCTTTTTCCTTCTACCCACCTCCAACTTTTTGTTTTGAAAAGTTTTAAACTTATATGAATGTTGAAAGAATACTACAACAAACATCAGTAAGCCCATTCACCTACGTTTGCCACTTCCTCTTTCTCTCTTTCTGTGTGTGTGTGTATGTGCGTATAGATTGACTTATGAGGCGCATATAAACACACATTTTTTTCTTGAACTATTTGAAAGTTAAGTTGTAGATATATCATGACATTTTATCTCTAAAGTTTTCGGCATGTATCTCCTAAGAACAAGGACATTCTCTTACATTTACCATAATATCTATATCACTTTGAGAAAACTTAACAATGACATAATTTTATGCCATATTCAATCTATAGTCCTAGTTCTTCAACTGTCCCAATAAAGTCCTTTATGGCTGTTTTTTTTAAAAAAAATTTCTCATCCAAGATCCAATCAGTTATCACTCAATGTGTTTAATTGTTATCTCTCTTCAATCTCTTTTACTTTTAGAACAGTTACTCTACCTTTTTTCTTGATTTTTTTTTTCAGGCCAATTATTTTGTAGAATGTAGAATTTGTATAATAGATTCAGGTTAAAATTTTTGGCACAAATACTACATAAGGGATGTGTTTCTATCTCAGTGCATCATATCTAAAGAGGTGCATAATGTCAAATTGTTCCATTATTGATGATTCTGTTTGATCACTGGTATGTGTCAGATTTCTCCATTGTGAAGGTATATTTTATCTTTTTAATTAATAAGTCATCTGTGGTGTGATACTTTGACTCTGTATGAATATTCTGTTCCTCAATAACATTTTACCAAATGACTTTAGCATTCATTGATGTTCCTTCCCTGAATCAGTTGGCATTCTTTTGAAAAGAAGAGTTTTCTTTTCTCTGCATCTCTCCTCCCCTTTTGGAGTAACACTATGGATGAACAGATTCTTTTTGTCTATTGTGTTATAGTTTATTACCATCATTCTTCTTATAGATGCTCATATTGACCCGAATGTGGCCAATGGCAGCCCCTTCAAGCTGGTTTCTGCGTTCTTTTGATGTGTCTCCATTAGTTTTTGAGCATGTCCTTGTTTTCTGGTGTAACAGGATGTTCTCCACTCATCTTATACTTTCATACATTTCCTCATTTCTCAAACGAGCTCTGTTTCCTTTTAATAGGAGTGGTATTTAGAAGTCAAGATTTGAGTTGCTAATATGTTCACTGCTACTGATCTTCCAGATACTTTTGATTCTATCCTGGATATACTTCTTTCATTCTCTTTGTTGCATTGTCACTATTTCTGACTTGGCTTCTACCTTTATTGTCTTCTTTCTGGACCACTGCAGTAATCCTCACTAGTCCTCCTGCCTCCATAATTGCTCTTCTCCATTTCGTCTTTCAACGAGCCACGGTTGAGATCATCTCATTCCTATTCCCCAAAACCTTTGATGAACATTTAGTAGTTACAGAAAAATGTTCTTTTTCTTTATCGTGACTTTCAAAACTCTTCAAAATCTTTATTGGTATTTCTGGCCTTACTTTGTATATGTGTTAGCTAACAAAACTACTGATTTCCTAAAATTTTCATATATTTTTGTATTTCTTTATCTTTGGTCCTGGAAGTTCCTCAGTTGGGAAAACTTTTCCTTTAATCTCAGCTCTACCTTATTCACATATAAATATTTTTTATTCTCTAAGGCCTAGTTAATTATTATCTTTTCTGATAAGTCTTTTCAATCCTTTGGCCCTATATAATTTGTCTTTCCATAGCTCTTTGTCCAAGTCTCTGTTTTATCATATTTCACGTATTATTACAACCATCTGTCTCCTCCATTAAAACAGTCTTTGATTGTAAGAACCATCTAGTCATCTTTATTTCTCCCACAGTATCCTCACAATGTTTTTTCACAGAGTGTATTCTAAATACTTGAAGCAAGAGGAACAAATTGGGGAAGGAGGTTCAGTCCAATTCAGGGGTTTGGTGGAACTTCTTACATGTGTGATTCCATGCTCCAAAATTGGGTTTCTAGAACTACCTGGAGCCTAAGAGTGTAATAGCACTTTCTCTTACCCTTCATGGTGAGAATTGAGAGTTACCTCTTCTCCATCCCTGTCATCCTCTCCAATATTTGAGAGGTCTACCTGCAATCATTTAGTATGGTAGTTGACTTCTTATCATTAGTTTGCCTCAAAATCAACCATTTTGTTATATTAAAAATTTGTTTTAAATAACAAAAGAATTCTTATGCCTCATTGATGATACACATTCTAGAAAACACATTGTTTGTTTAAATCAGAGATCAGGAAACTTTTTCTGTAATGGTCCGATAGTAACTACTTTAGAATTTGTGGGCATATGGTCTCTGTTGCAACTACTGAGCTCTGTTGTAGTGCTAAAGCAGCCATAGAAAATCCATAAATTAATAGGTGTGGCTGTGTTTCAATAAAACTTTATTTATGGACACTAAAATTTGGTTTCATATATTTTTACTCATCATGAAATATTCTTCTTCTAATTTTTAAAAAACATTTAGACAAATAAAAACTATTCTTAGCCTTTGGGCTGTAGAAAAACAGGCATCAAGCTGAATTTGGTCTGTGTGGCACAGTTTGTCAATTCCTGGTGTAAATCATGATGACTCCAAATTTCTTGAGTTGGGCTAATTCTGATTTGAATATAAGATGTGTAACAGTGAATAATTGCTTTGCTAAGGTTATATACTTGAGAGTTCTTGGAAGTGGAACTTTAAAAAAAAATTAAAACATCGAATATCTTATTGATATATATAGCAAAATTTATTATAACTTCTTGGATCTTGTGTAAGGAGTTTAGTGACTAAAGCACATAAAAGACCTTGTTAGATAGTTTATGGAGAACAATTTAGAATAGGTCAAAGAACCAAAACTATACATGATAGCTTAAAATCCAGATTATTCATTTGTACCATCACTTAAATGTACTTTGAAAATGCAGTCTGCCCTCTGATAGTCACTTTAAATAAGGTCTAACTTTTAGAGTTAAGAAATATTGGAGACTAAAGGATAGATGAAAATTATACTGACAAAAAAAATGCCTCCTTGAGCTCAGACATTTTGGTCTCAATATGTAACAGTAAATCTATTGCGTGTGTACAATATTAGCAATATTTGATTTCAGTGTCTTCCATCTTAAAAATTACTCCCCAGAACCCAATATAATGGAGTGGATTTATAGTTACGGAAATTTGTGGGACATAGGTATTTATTTACAAATAAATATCTGGAACAATGTTATGATAAGTTCAGTGACAAAGGGTGACAAAACTGTATATTTTCCCATTTGGGGAGAAAAAATAGGCATAAATATAAATAGGTTTGGATGAATATATATGAAAGCATTAAAGTGATGTTCAATTGGTGATGGGTTTATGGGCATATAAACGTGTTATATGTCTATTTTAATCTATTTTTTTATGCTGAAATTGTATTGCTTTTATGTTATAACAAAATTATTTTTAATTAATAAATTGGATAGCCAATTCTCTCGAATTCATAGTGTCATTTAAGAATGAGTTGGTAAATTATGTTTTAAAAGCATCAAGTGCTGGGCCAGCCCCGTGGCATAGTGGTTAAGTGCGCACGCTCTGCTGCTGGCGGCCCAGGTTCGGATCCCAGGCATGGACTGAAGCACCATTTGTCAGGCCATGCTGTGGCAGCGTCCCACATAAAGTGGAGGAAGATGGGCACGATGTTGGCTCAGGGCCAGTCTTCCTCAGCAAAAAGGAGGATTGGCATGGATGTTAGCTCAGGGCTGATCTTCCTCACCAAAAAAAATAAATAAATAAAAGCGTCAAGTGCTATTTTATTTATTAAAGACTTAAAAAAACAAAATATTGAAATTCCTTTGAACTTTTCTTACTCATGACTGTTTTTCAGGGTGATGATGATGCTTATCTGTGTATTCGTGAAGATCAGACTGTGTACATACAACCTTCTCATTTGACGGGGCGAAGTCACCCTGTGATGGACTCCAGGGTACGTGTGAAAATTCTGGGAACCTCCACCTGGCTGGTCCACCTTCTGGCTATGTGACTGACAGTGGCAAGGCTGTGCTGCAAAACAGCTTCCAAACCCACAGTAGCAGAGCCCAAGCAGGGGCCTGGCAACAGCATTCTTCTCTTATAATAATCTGGGAGAAACTTCTCTGCATTTTATTTTATTTTTATAATATATATTTTTAAAATAAACATTATGTATATTTAAGGTGTACAACATGATGTTTTGACATACATATACATAGTGAAATGATAACTACAGTGAAGCTAATTAATATATCCACCTCCTCACATAGTTATCATTTTTTTGTATGGGTGAGAGCACTCTCCTAGCAAATTTCCAGAATACAGTACAGTATTATTAATTATAGTCATCACGCTGTACATTAGACTTATTCTCTCTAGACTTATTCATCTTATGTAACAACTCTGTACCCTTTGAATAACATCTTCCATTTTCTGTGCTTTAGAAAGCACAAGACAGGTTTCTCTTTTAGTAAAATATGAATTCTTGCTTGTATCACTTAAATGCTTTTTGTTGCATCTTACAAAAAATATTTTATGGTTTGTTAAGATGGTCAAAGCATCAGCCCCTTTTACTGACAGATTTTTAAAAAGAGGCTTCTGTTAGTCACACAGAGAATTTCTTGACTAGTGAGAGAGAGGTGCACATATGGCAGAGGCTGGTTCAGTGCCTTTGGCAGTTGTCTTAAGTTCCCCTAGTTGGCATCTGTGCTAAAGGTGGCCTATTTCTGGTAGAGAAGTGTCTTTTTCACACGGCAATTAACATGCAAGTGAGCTCTGACCCAGCAGTAGCTATCATCTAATGACGTGTTAAGTTCTCTGCATAGCTTTCCCGTGGGGTTCGAACTTCTCTCCAGTTGCATGTTGCATTTTGGCCGCTAGGATATTACTTGCTAATTGTTTCTTCAGTGTTTTGATTGTGTGTTAGTGGCCAGATGGAGTTAGTACATCTGCCAAAGTCTCTAACCTGGGTAGAGGAATTGCTGGATTCTGACTCAGAGTAAAAATAATATTTTTGCCAAGTGGGATAAAGACAAACTGGGAGAAAATATTTCTTGTACTCTTCAAAGAGGAAGTAGAAAAACAATGACACTGCAGACAAAACATGCACAGAGGATCTTAGAGAAAGGAAATGGAGCGGGTCAGGATTTTGATCATATCTTATTTTTAGCAAATCTTTGGAAAGTGCTGAGAAGACCCATTGTGTGTGTTTATAGGATACTCTTGAGGATATGGCTTGGCGGTTGGAAGATGGTGTTATGCAGTGTTCTTTCAGAAGAAACATTACCCTTCCTGCAGTTAAGAATAGATTTGATCTAAACACAAGCTATTACATATTTATAGCAGATGGTGCAGCTGATGATGGTAAGTATATTGATAAAAACTATCTTTCACGTTTTTTTCTCTCTCTTCTCCCTTCCCCCACCCCCTCTTTTTTGGGAAAGACCACTGTAATTGCTCATTTTTAACATATACACTGTGGGTAAAGAGTTATCAAAAAGCTTTTCTATTTTTTGCCTGACAAATTGACTTTGGTTGACCTTCTAGCTTCGTTTCCCTGGAAACTAGATAAAAGTAGTGTTAATTATGTTATAAGGCAACGTACTTATGATAAAAATGACTTCTGGATGGCAAACTGCATTTGGACCAGGAAGAACTATAAATACCTGGTAAGAAGCCATATCTTTGGGCTTCCCTGAGTGTTGTGACATTGGCAGATTCCTTGCAGAGGCCCAAAGCAGAGACTTTGGAGTTGTTGCAAGTGATATGGCTCCTGTGGGATAACCTGTCCAATATGAATCTCATCTCTTTGGACCTGAGCTTTCTTCAGGGAGGTGGCGAGGGGGTGAAGAGAATAGCTCCTGGACAGCTGAGTAAACTACTGAGAACCTCCCACCAGAGGAGAATGCCTCACGGCGCCCTGCAGGTGTGCTGGGTTTCCTGTCCCACATCTTTCTGAGTGAATCTGATGCCAAGTGCAGCCTAAGATAGTTTTATGAGTTGGAATGTTTAGTTTATCTGTAAGAAGACTACCCTGGTGAGTATTGCAACACATATTAATAGGAATAATTAGGTTTTGTTTAAGATCTTGGCTAATGATATTTTGAAGAACTGCAGGAAATGCCAAGGTAGTATTTAGTGACTCATCTCTTGGGAGATAATACTGCCCCCAAACTTTGAAACTAAAGCCTCCTTTGAAAATAGTGAGAAGATGGGCTTATAAAATGGAGGTTTAGAGGGTGGGATAAAGGCGTAGGAAGAGCAGAAATGTGACGCAGGCAAACTGTGTAAAGCCTTGACTATTCTATCATGTGGTTTAGATTTTATACTATAGGTAAAGTGGAGACCCAAAAGGTTTTGAAGCAGGATAAAATATCTACTCGGTGTTAGAGAAAATTCGGGAACATTTGTAGATTTCGTTGTAGGTGACTTATGTAGTTGTCTTAGCCAAATCATGTATTCTTATTTGCACCAGCAACAGCAACTGTAGCTTGAAAATCATTTCTTGGTTAAGCGATACTAAAGAATAAAAATTATTTGGTACTTAATGAGTGCCAGTCGCTGTCTAAGCACTATAGTTAGGTTCTTCATTTTTATCGTCATAAGAACTGTACTAGATACGTACTATTATTATTCCTAGTTTGTCTGGGAGGAAACTTAGATTAAGTAATTTGCCCAGACAAGTAAATGGTAAAGTTGGAATTTGAACCCAAACTCTTTTACCTCAAAGCCTAAGTATTCAATACTTTCGAAGATGGAAAATGTAGGAAATGAATTTTTAATGAGGAAAAGGTCAAATATTTGTGTTTTTAAAGAGATACCACTAAAGTGCAGATTAGTGTGCACAATAACAATTGTGTTATTGTTATTAGTGCAGCTATCGCTTACCATAAATTACATAAATCTCATTTATTTCTCACAGATGCTTTGTAAATAGATATTATATTACCCATTTTAGAGAGAAGGAAACCGGAACCTAGAATGTCTAAGTAACTTATTCAAAATCAACAAGTGCAGAGTCAGGAATTAAACCCAGGTCTGTTCCAATTGCAAAGGTCATGCCCTTTCCATCATAGCAGACTGCTTCCTTTGGTGCCCAGCATGTTAGAGGTGCTCCATAAATGAGTATTGAATCAAAGTGATTTCTTAAATTGCTAGGGGATTTAACGGTTTGCATTTATACTATTAAAAATGTTATACTTAAAAAAATTTATACTTTAAAAGAAAAGCAGTTTCATTTAAATGGATGAATTCTGTTGTATAATAAATTGTGTGTGCGTGAGTGTATAGCAATGCCAAAAATTTCTTCTTAGGTCAGCATTGTAGAAATTGGAACATATTTTCTGATAGAAACAACGTTTGAGTAATAGTTCTAACATTCCCTCAGAAAAACTTAGTTCATGGATAATACATGTGAAGAATAGAGGCTTCTTTTATCTCCCTCTCCTGCTGGAGTTGCTGTGCTGAAGGCATGGTAGGGAGAATCTCTACCTTGTCTTTTGTGGTGCTTCTCAAAGTGTGGGGCTCAATCTGCTTCAGAACCACCTGGAGTGACTGCTCAAAATGCAGATTCCTGAACTCCATCCCAGACACACTGAATCTCTCTTGTTGGTGCTTGGAATCTGCATGTTTAACAAGCATCTGAGATGATTGTTCTGTATACTGTGGTTTGATAACTTATTGTTCTAGGACAGAGTTCTCCCAACTAAGTTGTACACATTGTAAGACAGTCCAGGGGATACAGGGAACAATACTAGAATTTTCTATTTCTATTTATTTTATCTCATTAAAAAAATTTCTGTTTCAATATATTTTACAGTGTTTATAATGTTTTAAAACAATAGTACATAATATGCTTATTAACAGAAATATATATCGGGCACGGACTGATTGTTTTTAGCTGGTGGAGTGCAAAGTAAAAAAAGCAAAACAAAACAAAACCTCAAAAAAACAAGCCTAGATATTACTATTCCAGGGAATTCACTTTCCAGTTCCCTTGTATTGGGGAACAATGTGCAATTACCACAAAAGTCATTGTCTTTTCTGTTATCTGTGTATGTGGACCATTTATAAGTTGCACTCTGCTTAAAAGCAGTGAGACTTTGTGAGGTTGAAAACATTTTTCAAAGCAATCATATAATCTCCATAACCCATATAAATGTAAAATGTACCCAATTTCAGTAAAATCCATTTAAAACCTTTTTCTAAGTGCTGTTTCTCCCTCAGAATGCTGACATTGTCCTGTAATGAGATAAGCAGTCATGTGAAATGCTGAGTGTCTGAATTGAAAGAACTCACTTAGGTGAATAAGTAATTCACAATTAGGAAATCTACTAAATTAAGTAATTAATGAAGTAGAGACCCTGTTATCACATGACCTGTTATTTTAACAATTTTGAAATACCATGGGTCACATAATACTGAAGAGCCATGTACTAAACATGAACTCAACCTCCCTTAGAACAGAACTTCAAAATTATAATGGAGCTGTGCAATGGAACTCTGAAATTAAAATGGACTTCTGCTCTAGTGAAGGTTAAGTTCATGCTTAGTCCATGGCTCTGCAGTGAATCAGAGTTTAAAAACACTTTTCTTCCAACTTGACTGTCAGGCTGTTGGGAATGTGGTCTCGTTTTCATCACTACGACTCTACGAATGGGATATTTTTAGATTCTTCGGTGCCTTTCTTGTCATTTTCAATAGTTTTCTTTCTTTTTTTTTTATATTATTTATTTATTTTCCCCCCAAAGCCCCAGTAGATAGTTGTACGTCATAGTTGCACATCCTTCTAGTTGCTGTATGTGGGACGCGGCCTCAGCATGGCGGGAGAAGCGGTGCGCCGGTGTGCGCCCGGGATCCGAACCCGGGCCGCCAGCAGCGGAGCGCGCGCTCTTAACCGCTAAGCCACGGGGCCGGCCCTCAATAGTTTTCTTTATCCTTTTCTTTTTGACATTTTTGTAGCTCCTGATAGTTATTGACTCTTTTTTCTTGACACTCTCTTCTCTAGGTATTCATTACATAAAACTCTTCTCATTTTCTGCTTTATCTCTGATCTTCTCTCTTATAACAAGCCATGATATAATAGCCTTTGTCAAATGAATAACCAGGTATATTAACACCATTGTATCTCTTCTGCTTCAAAAGTCTCTTTCCCATATGCTAAAAATCTTTCAGTAAATCACACTATTTCTAGTTTGTTCTTCCATTGATCTATCTGTCTATTACTGCACTGGTTGAAATTACTATAGCTTTATAATAGGTTGTGGATTTTTTTTTTGGTGAGGAAGATTGTCCCTGAGCTAACATCTGTGCCAGTCTTCCTCTTTTATATGTAGGATGCCGCCACAGCATGGCTTGATGAGCGGTGTGTAGGTCTGCACCCGCGATCCGAGCCCGAGAACCCTGGGCTGCCAAAGTGGAGCATGCGAACACCACTGGGCTGGCCCTAGGTTGTGGATTTTGATAGAACATGATTCCCCTCCTGGCCTTCTTTTTCAGGAATTCTTGCCTCTTCATTGTGTATCTGTTCTTCTACATGAACTTTAGTTGTGATTTGTCAAGTTTCATTAGAAATCCTATTGTGATCATGATTGGAATTACAATGAAATTTTAGATTAATTTGGGGGAATAAATGACATCTTTGCAATAGTGAGTTTTCCTATCCAGAAATGTATTGGGATATTCCATTTATTCAGATCCTGTGTATATGTATCTTTCAGTGATGTTCTATGGTTTTCTTCGTATCTTCGTATAGGGCTTATATATTTTTTGGTACTTTGTTCTTAGGTATTTTATAGATTTCTAAAACAAACTATTGTGAATGGAATTATTTTTCTTACATTTTCTATTTTTGTTGGTGTGTAGGAAAGTTATTGATTTTTGAATATTTACCTTGAATTATGCCACTTAGTTGTCTAGTTGGTTGCCTTGGATTTTCTGGATAAACATCATATCCTGTGCAAGTAACAACAGGGTTAATAGCCCTCATTTTCATTCTTGTTTCATTGCACTGTCTAGTTCTCCCAGAAAAATGTGGAATGGCAGTGCTGATATGGCAAGCATTCTTGTCTTGTTCCTGATTTTGGTGGGAATGCATCTGATATTCAGTGTTAAGTGTCATGTTTGTTGTATTTTTCTGGTGGATATTCTTTATTGTGTTTGGGAAATGTTCTTCTATTCCTAACTTTACTAAGAGTTCATGTCATTAATGTGTGCTGAATTTCCTCTGATCTCTTTTGGCAGCTATTGAGATGATATTTTATCATTACTTTTATAGATTTCTGAATGGTGAACGAGCCTCACTTTCCTGGGATCAATGTTGCTTGGCCATGTTTTATTATTCTTTATTGCACAGTTGATTTCATTCACTAATATTTTATTTAAGCTTTTTGCATCTATATTCATAAATGATTTTGGTCTATGGTTGTGGGATTGTGTGTGTTTGCATGCGTGTGCATGCCTGCCTAGTTTTGGTTTCAGTGTTATGCTAATCTCATGGAATGAACTCTAGAGAGTTAAATAAGAATTTTTAAAGTTAAAAAAATTTTTTTAATAGTATGATAGAACTCGTCCATATAACAGTCTGAGCCTTTAGGGATGGAAATATTTGACTAGTTAAAAAAAATTCTTCTATTGTTATTACTCTCCAGAGTTACTACTACTTCTAGGATCAGTTTTTGTAATTCTAGATTTTCCGAGAAATTCATCTATTTCATCTAGATTTTGAAATATTTCTGGCTGACTTAACGTTGTATATAGCATTTTCATATAATTTTAAAGAATATCTTCTATATGAGTAGCTATGTCACCCTTTTCATTTCTAACATTGTTGTGATATTTCTTTCTATCTTATGGTCAGACTTGCCAAAGACTCAATCAATTTTATTGGCCTTTTACAAAGTTGAGTTTTCTGATTTTTAGACTTACTAGTTTAATTTCTACCTTCATTTATTTATTTTTTTTTTGTGAGGAAGATCAGCCCTGAGCTAACATCTATGCTAATCTTTCTCTTTTTTTGCTTTGGAAGACTGGCTCTGAGGTAACATCTATTGCCAATCCTCCTCCTTTTTTTCTTCCCCAAAGCCCCAGCAGATAGTTGTATGTCATAGTTGCACATCCTTCTAGTTGCTGTATGTGGGACATGACCTCAGCATGGCCGGAGAAGCGGTGCGTCGGTGTGCGCCTGGGATCCAAACCCGGGCCGCCAGTAATGGAGCGCGCACACTTAACCGCTAAGCTACGGGGCCGGCCCCTCTACCTTTATTTTTAATCAATCTTCTTTTCAGGTTTCCTGGGCTATATTTTATTTTAGACACATCTTGAATTAAATGATCACTTCAATACTTTGTCTTCTGTTTTGTTTTTTTTAAGGGAAATGGTTTTAAGATGATAAAAACTTGTTTTGAATAGTACCTTGATTGCATCACATGAGTTTTGATATGAAGAGTCTTCATTGTTATACATTTTTAAGAAGACTTGTGCTTTTAGTTTTGATTTCCTATTTAAATGAAGGCCTATTTAGAAGAGTAGTTTTATAAATATCCTGATGGGCCATTTTTTCCTAACTTTTGTTATTAATTTTCAGTTTTGTTGCATTTTAGATAGATAATATAACTTGTATCCTGTATAATTATTTCTTTTTGGAAATTATTGAGGTGTAGTCTGGTCTAATGCCTATTATTTGTTTGGAACAAAGATTCATATATATCTGTTATATCAAATTTTTACATTATTTTTATTCTTTTTGATGCTTGCATTGTATTCTAAAAATGTATGTATGTTCCATAATTTATTTACTCATTCTGCTAATGATGGACATTTAGCTTGTTTGAATTTTTTTTGGCCAGCATAAAAAAGTATCTATGAACATATTTTCATGAACGTAGTTTCTATGAACGTATTTTCGTGTACGTAGTTTCTATGAAAAGTTTATTGTACATATATCTATGGTTAAAAGGTGAATGTTTCTATAGGATAGATTCCCAGAATATACAAACATACCATACATACTCACACACACAGACAAATTGCAATAATTCTATACATTCACAGATTTAATTTTATTTATAATAATAATATATCTTCAATTTGTTTACATCGCTGTTATTTGGGATTTTGCTTTGTTAGTCAAACCTGGTCTGAATTGACCATATGCCAAATAACACAGCATCAAAATACTTTTCTTTCTCTTCTACCTATCCCCTTCTGCTGGGCCCAATTTCTGTTGGCTTAATATAGATTCTAGATTTTTTTTATATATATTCTCTTAGAAGAATTACATCTGACATTTTCAATGATTCGTGATCTTATTAACAGTAATTATTTTGACTTATATTGTTTAACTGGTCTCTTGCATACCACCGGTTCTTTTACCATAATTTCTCCATTCCTAGTCTTCATTTTGATTCACTTCTTTGTTGAATGTTGGCTAAGTTATTTAACTTTTTTCAAGAAGATTATGTATACTTGCGGATACGTTTATGCTGCTTTTGCATGTGAATGGCGTTTCTGTTGATATTTATTTTTTTATTACCTTAGGAAATTTTATTTCCATGCCATGCCATTGTTTTTCCATTTCTTCTCTCCTGAGGAAGTAATTCTTCTTCAATGGTTTTTTTTTTTTTTTTTTAAATTTCAGGTCGAATTTATAAGCATTCTCAGCAACCTTTGATTACATATGAAAAACATGATGTGACAGACTCTCCAAAGAACATAGGAGGATTCCATTCTTTACTCCTTCTGAAGGCTCATGGTAAGCTACACGTGTAGTATTATCACTATTTTGTGGAATAAACTTACCTGATGACTCAGCGCTGGCTGAATTAGGAATGGTGGTGGGCATAATTTAGCAAATGTTCATAAATCTTCTATGTTTAAACATTAACATTTGCAGGTAGCAGTATCTATCTTAATGTTTGCTAATTTTTATTAGAAATGGAGAGTAGGGATAATTCAGTGGTTTTAAACCTGGCTGCACATTAAAAAGCCAGTCATCATATTCTAGTGGTTAAGATATGGCATTCTCACCACAGTGGTCCGGATTTGTTTCCTGGTCAGGGAACCACACTACCCTGACAGTTGTTACACTGTGATGGCTGTGTGTTGCTGTGATGCTGAAAGCTATGCTGCTCATATTTCAAATACCAGCAGCGTCAAAAACCTCTCATGGTGGACAGGTTTCAGCAGAGCTTCCAGACTAAAACAGACTAGGAAGAAGGACCTGGCCACCCACTTCTGATAAAAATTGGCCATGAAAATCCTATGAATAGCAGCGGAGTGTCGTCTGATATAGCACCAAAAGGTGAGAGATGGTGTAAAAAGATGTCAGAATTGACTTGATGGCACTAACAACAACAAACACATTAAAATCACCAATGGAGCTTTTAAGACACCTGTAATTTAAAAAAAATGCCTTGGTTGTTTCTAACTGTAGCCAGGGTTGAGTATCCCTAGGTTAATTAATTTAACTTTTATGAGACCTTAATTATGCCATTTATTAAAACAAATGCTAATAAAAGTGTGGTTTGTGATTGTGATCGTTTAACATTAGTTTGGTTTCAAAGATACAGTTTTTTTGTTGAAGAACTGATCAGTGTACAAGTATTTGAGGGTATACAAAGTACTCAGTGCTATACTTAGGTATCATGTACTTAAAATGATGAAAGGAACCAAGTTGCAAGAGCAGTAGCCTAAAAACAAGGCTCTAATGTGCCCTGATTCTACAGATGAAGTTGATTCCATTTGAAAAGTAGCCCGGTATATTGTTTTCTTTCTTTCTTTCTTTTTTTTTTTAATTGCAATAACATTGGTTTATAACATTATATAAATTTCAGGTGTACATCATTATATTTCAATTTCTGTATGGATTACATCATGTTCACCACCCAAAGACTAATTACAATCCATCACCATACACATGTGCCTAATCATCCCTTTCACCCTCCTCCCTCCCTACTTCTTCTCTGGTAACCACCAATCCAGTCTCTGTGTCTACGTGATTGTTCGTTGTTGTTTTTATCTTCTACTTGAGTGAGATCTTATTGTTGAAAAGATGAGATTTAAAAGTAGAGGAATAATGTAGTACTATACTATTGTAAAATATTAGTATTTTGGGAGAAATTTCCTTATTTGGTATATTTAAGTGGGAAAGAAAAGGCCACAAATAGGAATAAGAAAATTATCAAAGAAAAAATGTCACTGGTAAAGGCAAATATACAGGAAAGGTAGTGGATCAACTACCTATAAAGGTAGTATGAGGGTCAAAAGGCAAAAGTACTAAAATCATCTATAGCTATGATAAGAGGTTAAGGGACACAAAAATAACAGGTAAAATATGATATCAAAAACAAAATGTGAGTGGGGGTAAAAGTGAAGGGCTTTTAGTAAAAGGTCAAACCTAAGAGACCATCAACTTAATATAGATTGCTATTTGCATAGATTGTTATATATGAACCTCATGGTAACCACAAACCAAAAACCTATAATAAATACACAAAGAATAAAGAGAAAGGAACTCAAACATAACACTAAAAAAAGCCATCAAATCACAAGGGAAGAGAGCAAGAGAAGAAGAGACCAGAGAAGAACTATAAAAACATCCAGAAAAAAAGTAACAGAATGGCAATAAGTATAAGTACGTACTTGTCAATAGTTGCTTTAAAAGTAAATGGACTAAATGCTCCAATCAAAAGACATAGGGTGCCTGAATGGATAAAAAACAAGACCCGTATATATATGCTGCATACAAGAGACACACTTCAGACCTAAAGACACTCACAAACTGAAAGTGAAGGGATGGCAAAGATATTTCATGCAAATGGAAACAAAAAGGAAGCTGGGGTAGCAATACTTATATCAGACAAAATAAACTTTAATAAACAAAGACTGTAACAAAAGACGCAGAAGGACATTACATAATGATAAAGGGAACAACCTAACAAGAGGATATAACATTTGTAGATATCTATGCACCCAACATAGGAGCACCTAATTGCATAAAGCAAATATTAAGACATAAAAGGAGAAATTGACAGTAACACAATAATGGTAGGGGACTTTAATGCTCCACTCATATCAGTGGATAGATCACCCAGACAGAAGATCAAAATGAGGAAACATTGGCATTGAAAATGACACATTAGACCAGATGGACTTAATAGATATATACAGAGCATTCCATCTAAAACCTGCAGAATACACATTCCTTTTGAATGCACCTGGAACATTCTCCCAGATAGATCACATATTAGGCCACAAAACAAGTCTCAATAAATTTAAGAATATTGAAATAATATCAAGCATCTTTTCTGACCACAACGGTATGAAACTACAGAAACTATGTAGAAATCAACTACAAGAGGAAAACTGGAAAAGTCTCAAATATGTGGAGATTAAACAAAATGCTACCGAACAACTACTAGGTCAATGAATAAATCAAAGGAGAAATAAAAAAGACCTGGAGACAAATGAAAATGAAAGTACAATATACCAAAATCTATGGGAGATAGCAAAAGTGGTACGGAGGGAAGTTTATAGCAATACAGGCCTACCTCAAATAAAAGAAAAATGTCAAATAAACAATCTAACAATACACCTAAAGGAACTAGAAAAAGAAGAATGAATGAAGCCCAAAATCAGTAGAAGAAAGGAAATAATAAAAATCAGAGTGGAAATAAATGAAATTTATTTTTTAAATAAATTTAAATATTAGAGACTGAATAGACAATAGAAAAGAGCAATGAAACTAAGAGCTGGTTCTTTAAAAAGATAAACAAAATTGACAAACCTTTAGCTAAGATCACCAAGAAAAAAAAGAGATGGCTCAAATAAAATCAGAAATGAAAGAGGAGAAATTACAACAGATACCACAGAAATACAAACAGTTAGAATACTACAAAAAGCTATATGCTTTTTGTAAATTGGATAATCTAGAAGAAATGGATATATTCTTAGAATAATACGACCTTCCAAAACTGAATCAGGAAGAAATAGAGGATCTGAACAGACCAACCACTAGTAAGGAGATCAAAACAGAAATCAAAAACCTCCCCAAAAACAGAAGTCCAGGACCAGATGACTTCCGTGGTGAATTCTAGTGAACATTAAAAGAAGATTTAATACCTATCCTTCAAATTCTTCGAAAAAATTGAAGAGGAGGGGATGCTTCCTAACTCATTCTACGAGGCCAACATTACCCTGATACCAAAACCAGACAAGGACAACACGAGAAAAGAAAATTACAGGCCAATATCACAGATGAATATAGATGCAAAAATCATCAACAAAATATTAACAAATCGCATAGAAAAATACATTAAAAGTGTCATACACCATGAGCAAGTGAGATTTATTCTGGGGATGCAAGGATGGTTCAACATCTGCAAATCAATCAACGTGATACACCACATTAACAAAATAAAGAATAAAAATCATGATCATCTCAATAGATGTAGAGCGAGCATTTGACAAGATACGGCATCCATTTATGATAAAAACTCCAAATAAAATGGGTAGAGAGATAAAGTACCTCAAAATAATTAAGACCACTTATGATAAACCCACAGCTAACATCATACTAGAAAGTCCTAACCAGAGCAATTAGGCAAGAAAAAGAAAGAAAAGGGATCCAAACTGGAAAGGAAGAAGTAAATTGTCACTTTCGCAGATGACGTGATTTTATATATAGAAAACCTAAAGAATCCACCAAAAAACTATTAGAAATAATAAATGAATACAGTAAAGTTGCAGGGTACAAAATCAACATACAGAAATCAGTTGCATTTCTATACATTAACAAAAAAATAGCAGAAAGAGAAAACAAGAATACAATCCCATTTACAAGCACAACCAAAAGGATAAAATACTTAGGAATAAATTTAACCAAAGAAGGTGAAAAACCTGTATACCAAAAACTATAAAATGTTGTTGAAAGAAAATGAAAAAGACACAAAGATATGGAAAGATATTCCATGCTCATGGATTGGAAGAATTAACATAGTTAAAATGTCCATACTTCCTAAAGCAATCTAGAGGTTCAATGCAATCTCTATCAAAGTCCTAACAACATCTTTCACAGAAATAGAACAAAGAATCCTAAAATTTATGTGGAACAACAAAAGGCCCCAAATAGCCAAAGCTTTCCTGAGAGAAAAGAACAAAGCTGGAGGTATCACACTCCCTTTTTCAAAATATACTACAAAGCTATAGTAATCAAAACAGCATGGTATTGGCACAAAAACAGACACACAGATCAATGGAACAGAATTGAGATCCCAGAAATAAACCTACACATCTATGGACAACTAATTTTTGACAAAGGTGCCAAGAACATACAATGGAGGAGGAATATCTCTTCAATAAATGGTGTTGGGAAAACTGGACAGCCACATGCAAAAGAATGAAAATAGACCATTATCTTACACCACACACAAAAATTAACTCAAAATGGATTAAAGACTTTGGGCCGGCCCTGTGGCTTAGCGGTTAAGTGCGCACGCTCTGCTGCTGGCGGCCCGGGTTTGGATCCCGGGCGTGCACTGACGCACCACTTCTCCGGCCATGCTGAGGCCGCGTCCCACATACAGCAACTAGAAGGATGTGCAGCTATGACATACAACTATCTACTGGGGCTTTGGGGGAAAAAATAAATAAATAAAATTATAAAAAAAAAAAATTTAAAAGACTTGAATGTAAGACCTGAAACGATAAAACTCCTGGAAGAAAACTTAGGCAGTATGCTCTTCAACATAAGTCTTAGCAGTATCTTATTGAATATCATGTCTCCTCAGGCAAGGGACACAAAAGGAAAAATAAACAAATGGGACTGGATCAAACTAAAAAGCTTCTGCTTAGCAAAGGAAACCATCAACAAAACAAAAAGACAATCTACCAAGTGGGAAAAGATATTTATAAATCATGTATCTGATAAGGAGGTAATATCCAAAATATGTAAAGAACTCATACAACTCAACAACAACAAAATAAACAACCCAATTAAAAAAATGGGCAAAGGATCTGAACAGACACTTTTCCAAAGAAGATATACAGATGGCCAACAGGCACATGAAAAGATGTTCAACATCACTAATTATTAGGGGAATGCAAATCAAAACTATAATGAGATATCACCTCACACCCATCATAATGGCTATTATTAAAAAGACAAAAAATAAGTGTTGGAGAGGATTTGGAGAAAAGGGAACACTTTCACACTGCCGGTGGGAATGTAAACTGGTGCAGCCACTATGGAAAACAGTATGGAGGTTTCTCAAAAATTTTAAAATATAACTGCCATATGATTCAGTAATTCCACTCCTGGGTATTTTATCCAAAGAACACGAAAGCACTAATTTGAAAAGATATATGCACCCCCCTATGTTAGTTGCAGCAGTATTCACAATAGCCAAGACCTTGGATTAACAGATGAATGGATAAAGAAGGTGTGGTGTGTATATATATATATATACACACACACACAATGGAATATTACTCAGCCATAAGAAAAGATGAAATCTTGCCATTTGCAACAACATGGGTGGACCTTGAGGGCATTATGCTAAGTGAAATAAGTCAGATGGAGAAAGCCAGATACCATATGATTTCACTCATATGTGGAAGATGAAAAACAGCAATAACAACAAACAAACACATAGGCACAGAGAATAGATTGGGGGTGAACATGATGTAGTCTACACACCTCAATAAAAAATTAACTAAGGAAAAAGTAGGGGAATAAGGTAGTATATACTATACTATTGTAAAATATTCCTATTTGGGGGAACTTTCCTTATTTGGTATATTTCCTTTGTATTTTCCAGAGTTATCCGTTTTTGTAGAGTTGCAATAAATATCATGACTATTAGTCTTGAAAATAACTTTATTGATGTCAATTCGCTTCTTCTCATAGCTCTAGTTTTACAGTAATCGGGTTTAGAAATAATGTGCCTATTTGTTTTTCATTGCTTTTTGGAGTGAGATGGGAGAAGATGCTGAGATAACTACAGACAGGCTGTATTAGTATAATGGTTTAAGAGCACAGTTACTCAAGCAGACTGGGTTCGAATCCCGACTTCGTAACCTTAGGCGAGTTACTTAACTTCTCTATATATTAGTTTCCTTATCCAGCAAAACTGGAACAATATTTGTAACTACTTCATAGGATTGTTGTAAAAATCAGTTAGATTAATACATGTAACGCGTTTAGAGACAGCGCCTGGCATGTAACAGAAGCTGGGGAAGTGTCAGCTATTAGAAGTAGTAGTAGTGGTGATAAAGGTTATGACATAGGGTCTTTTTAGGTTCTGCTTCTGTCAGTTGAATGTGTTTTGCTGGCTGTTAATATTTTCTGAGCATTTGGCTTGGTTATTTAAGAAATGGCTTAATTAGCTTGTGATGTCAGCCATTGTATTTTCTCACCTGTAGGTGCCTTAATGTTTGTGGCATGGGTGACAACTGTTAGCATAGGTGTACTGATTGCTCGATTCTTCAAACCTGTTTGGTCAAAGGCTTTCTTGGGCAAAGCAGTTTGGTTTCAGGTAAGTGGGAGAAAAAGTTTAATGTATTTTATGTATTATTTGAACATTGCAACATAAAAATATATGAAGTATGTGTGGGTTTTTTTTTGTGTGTGTGTGTGTGTGTGGTTACAGTTGTAGGTTTGGAATCCTAATAATAATTCTTTTTGCCCTTTAATTTCCTAGCCAGTTGAGAGCAGACATAAGGTTCTTGATGAAGATCAAAATAGAGACAGCTTTATGAAGGGTCAGGCTGGATTGGAGAACATTTCAGGGCTTTGTGTGCGCCTTTGTAACACAGACTTTCAGACCCAAATAACCCTGACTTACGTGTCTAGTTGCAGGGGGAGAGGCTGGAAGAACTTCACCCACTGCGCTGAGTACGGATTGGTCAAGAAAGGCAGGAGAGCAGAAGAGATAGTGGGTGCTTACTGCATTGCAAAGCAGGGGTCTGTCCTCTGGTTGATGGGCCAGTGAATGTTGGGCTATCCCTAGCTCACCAATCAATTCATCTATCTCCTGTGTGGGTGGGATGAGAAAGTAGAAGTGTTCCTTTCCATGCTGCCCCTTCCCGTGGGATGTCTCTCTCATATGTTTATGTGGATATTCCCAGCTGGAAAACTCTTTATGTCTTCTCTTTACCAATTCAAATCCTCCACTGCTTTTAAAACTACGATGCCTCTATATGTAGGGTGACGTGTGTGTGTTTGTGCATATATATACACATACACATATAGTGACTATATGTCCTACTTTCCCTGGAATAGTTTTAGTTTGCACCAGTTATCCTGGCATAATCAATTAACAGTGCCCATTTTCACTCTCAATATTCTTCTAATTTGGACAGTGAATTATGCATTTTATATATGTTTCTCTTATCTACTCAATTAATATCCCGAGCTCCTCAGGAGACAGTATTTTCTATTTCCTTGCTGCCTCGTTGTATCTGGTATAGCACCGTGCCTGTTGGTAGAACTTAATAAATGTCTTTGGAAGGGAATGAAGGACTTGGCGAGTAACTTGCTCTGTGCGTGAAATATCCATTCCTGCTGCTCTGTGCAGGTGAAGTCTTGGCAAATGCTTTTGAATGATGAGGATGGGAGCTTAGGGTTCTCTTTAAAGTTCAGTGGTATACTAAGATTTTTTTTTAACTGACCACAAACTGTGATGAGATGTCAGTCAAATGCAGGCCTTCAGTGAATCTCACCCCATGATCTTTTCCCCATAGTAACACCAACTCCTGTCTCGTACATAGTTAACTCTCTTCTCACTTTGTCATTTCATCCTTGCAGGTGCATCGAATGCTCATGCTCACTACTTCTGCTCTCACCTGCATTGCTTTTGTTCTGCCTTTTATTTACAGAGGAGGTTGGAGTTGGGTAAGTATCTTAAACAGGATGTTTTTATATAAATTCATTTTGATGTCAAATGAGATTGCCGTTTTAGTCTCAAATGATGAGTAAAAAGATATTTCTTCACGTGTTGCTCTTTCTTTCCTTTTTGAATCATCTGATGACTATTTCACATTGTTGGGGGACAGGGATGGAGTGAGTTTGTCAGTGCAGATTACTTGGTAATGAAATATTTTTAGGCTGCATGAAATGTTATGTATACACTATATAGCTTTAGTGAGTTTTCTCACTATGGAGTGGTGAAAATTCCAAGTGTGATATCTGGGGAACATGAACACACTAAGCGGTTTTCTCTAACTAACACTATGATTACCACTAAGCTAACATTAGTTGCATTCCTACTTTGTGACCAGCTGTGCTGTGTGCTTTACATGTGTCATCAAATTTAAACCTCAAATGAAGTATTATTGATAATAATCCCATGTCACAAATGAAGAAACTGAGGCTTATTCTCAAAAGTTTATCTCCAGCTTAGACCTCTCCCCTGGCTTGAGACTCACACATCCAGCTGTCTGCTCAGGACCTCAACTTGCTTGTTTAAGATGTCTCAAACCTAGCGTGTCCGAAATGGAATTCCTGATCTTTCCTGATCTTTCCTCTCTGTGTTGCTCCCCCTGCTGCCATCTCCATATTAGTAGTTGGCAGTTGCCTTCTCAGGCCAAAACCTTGAAATTATTCTTAACTCTGCTCTCTTGCATACCCCATATCAAATCCATCAGGAAAACCTATTGGCTCTACATTTAAAACATACCACTTCTCATCCCTGATGGTACTATGTAGGTTAGAGCCACCATCATCATTTGCCTGGACTATGGCAGTAGGCACCTAATTGGTCTCTCTACTTCAACCCTTGTCCATGTATAGTCTGTTTTCAACCAAGAAGCAGAGTGATTTTTAAAAAATGTAAATCAGATCATATCATTCTTGTGCCCAAACTCATTTCTCTAATGTCTCTTAATTTTACTCAAAGTTAAAGCCAAAATCCTTCCAGTGACCTCTATGATTTGGCTCCCAGTTACTCTCTGAACTGATCTCCTCCTCCTCTCCTCATCCCATAGCTCATCTCATTCCACGCTGGCCTAATGCTAGGCATGTTCCTGCTTTATAGTCTTTGCAAAGATTCTTCCTTCTGCCTTGGTCTTGCTTCCTCCACTCCCTCACCTTCTTCAAGTCTTTGCTCAAATAATAGCTTCTCAGAGAGCCCTGCCCTGCTCTATTTTTTTCCCATAGCACTCTTTACCTGATGTCATTTCATGTAATGTACTTATATATCATTTCATATAATTTACTTATATATTATGTTTTTTCTTTGTCTGCCCTCCCACACTAATATGTAAGTTCTGTGAGAGCCAGGATATTTGTTGGTATGTTCACTGGTGTATCTCAAGCACCCAGAACAGATTCCGGTACATAGTAAGTGGTGTTGTTAGAGCCATCGAGTTGATTCTGACACCTAGCAATCCTGTGTACAGCAGAGCAGAACCCTACCTAGTCTTTTTTGCAGTGCTCCACTGCTGTTCATAGGGTTTTCATGGCCCATCTTTCCGGAAGTGGATGGCCAGGTCCTTCTTCTAGTCTGTCTGGTCTGGAAGCTCTGCTGAAATCTGTCCACCATGGTGACCCTGCTGGTATTTGAAATACCAGTGGCATAGCTTTCGGCATCACAACAACACACAGCCGCCACAGTATGACAGTCGACAGATAGGTGGTGTGGTTCCTTGACCAGGAAACGAACACGGCCTCGCAGTGAGAGAGCCGAATCTTAACCACTAGACTACCAGGGCTGTACCTACATAGTAGGTCCTCAGTAAATATATCTTGAACAAATGAATAGGGCTTATTGAGCATAAGTGATGTACCTAAGGTCAGAGCCTGTGCTTCCATTACACTCTACCAGTTTTACAGACAGTCAGAATTTGATATCAAAATTTAATATTTCAGTTTGGGGTGTTGCTACAAGGGCTAAGATTTGATGATTCGGGGGTCACAGACATCACCAGGAAACCTCCCTTCTGCTTTTTAGTTAGTTTATAGATTAGTCAACCTATTTTTTTAAGGAAATTATGAAGATTTTTTGATATGAATCAAGACATCAGAACCTTATTTTATCCAGGTTTTTGGGAGAAGGGTAACACTTATTTTGTAACCTTTGTAGTTTGTAGTCTTTCCAGTTTATGAATAGGATAGTATAAAGGTTAGGAGCACAACTCTACAGCTAGACTACTTGGATTCAAATCCTGATGTCATCACTTATTACCTGGGACACCTTGGGCAAGTTACTTAACTTCTCTGTCCCTCAGTTTACTCATCTGTAAAATGGGGCTAGTATAGTATCCATCTTGGCATTTCGGAGAATTGAGAGTTAATTAACTGAAAGCACTTAGGATAGTTCCCAGCACATTCTAAGCATGTATAAGAACATTGTTGCTACTGTTACTGTTTTTTATTAGATAGAGGCACTTTCCACCTCCATGGTCCTGGTTATAATTTTGTCAGTGTATAACTGTGTCCATGATTTGAAAGTGATTTTAAAGTGCTCTCTTGTCCGCTTTTAGTTCCTATTTACAAAAGCTTCCTATCACGGCTTGGAAACCACTATGTCCTCATTCTAGATCACAGATTTTAGAGCCTACCCAAGCATGGGAGTCAGTGGCAACAGACTGTAATATCCCTCCATCTAAACTTGTCACAGCTTAGAGCATCTTCTTAGTTCTTCCCTTAAGTTTTTAAGTGAAATAATTGTGCAAAATGGTCTAACCCATTGTCTGCTGTTTTGAGCAGGCACACGACATCACTAAGAGAGGAGTGTGACCAAGCCTGTTGAGATACTGTGTTGATGTTTTTTCTTGGACCTTCATTTTGAACAGAGGAGATAAGATGTTAATACGCTGGCTCTGCAGGTTATTCACTTAATCAACAAACATTTATTAAGTGACTAAGGCTCTGTTAAGCACTGGAGTTACAAGAAATCATGTAGAACCTTCAGCTCAGGGAGCATAGAGGTCTGAACAAATAATTACAGTACATTAGGGTGCGTGCTCTTGACATGTGGATTCTAACTAGTCCTCGGTGGGCTGCAAATGGCTGTACTGGTGTTGGTGGTCATCTAACATCCTGATGGGCGAGAGACAGCATTCTGTGCACGGATTCTGCCACAACCATTTGCACACTGTGTGGCCTTGGACACATTACTTGATATCTCTGAGTCTTGAGTTCCCCCATTTGTGAAAGTGGGATATTGATAACTAACTGTCAAGCATCGCAGTGAGCATTAGTGACAATGTGTAGAAAGTATGTGCCTAGTATAAAGTAGACACTCAGTGAATGGTGACTATTATTATTATTATTATTAAATGTTTATCATTTTTTTTTTTTTTTGTGAGGAAGATCAGCCCTGAGCTGACATCCGTGCCAATCCTCCTCTTTTTGCTGAGGAAGACTGGTCCTGGGCTAACATCTGTGCCCATCTTCCTCCACTTTATATGGGATGCCGCCACAGCATGGCTTGACAAGTGGTGCATCGGTGCGCGCCAGGGATCTGAACCGGGGCCGCCAGCAGCAGAGCGCGCGTACTTAACCGCTATGCCACAGGGCTGGCCCCCTATTACATGTTTAAAGCTACAGAAAAACACTAAGAATACATCTGTGTGTATTATTTTTAACTTGAGGATTTAAATTGATGGGCGAGATTGAGACTATTAAAATGATGTAACTTTGCTCAGTACGCAGGTTATCACCCATACCTTGGTTGTATAGTGGTGATTTTAGCAGTTCTTCAGCCTCTTCTGGCAGCCTTCAGACCACCTTTACATGACCCAAGGTACTTACGGCTTTTATCTATAAATGCTCTTCATGTGGACATCATTATTTGGCAAATGAATCCCTTTTCAAGTGGAAACATTTTGCATTTTATAAAATTCAGTGATAAATTATATTTACTTGAAAAAGTTTTAAAATGTGTTTCAGATATCTAATTCCTAGGCAATAAGGGAAATTATGTGCTTTTTAGTCCCTTGGGAATTAATTATAGTTCCATCACTTTTAAGAATCCTGACTGGTTCTTTACTTTGGTAGAAGGCAAGTGTTTAACTGGACTCATTGGAGTATGGGAACAGCTGCTAGAATAATAGCAGGTAAGTAATTGTGATGCCACTTATTCATATATAATTGCTGGTTGTTTATATTGCAAGTTGTAATTTGGCTTAAATGATTTTTAGATGCATTAGTAATTGGAGTAATTGGTTGTTGAGGAGAAATCAACCTTAAACATTAAAATCCAGAAAGTAATTTCTAGAGGTAACTATTTAAGTCATTATTTCAGCTTTAAGTTTCAGGTTTTTAAAATGACTTTAAAATTCTCCCTTTAAGGCTTTTTTAGCATTCGCCTTTGCCAGCAGAATAAGCTATGCTGATGGCCAAACATTTAAGCAGCTCAAGTTGAGGGTCATTTGTGAGTTGGGCTGAGGTGGGCTTGGCGGGGGATGGGGGTCCCAGCCCTCTGTCTCCAGGTTCTTTCCATGGGGATGGTACCTTCTAGGGAATGGAGGTTTTCAAAAGTCAAGTATGTTTATCCAATACATTTTGATGCCTTATATAATAAATACCTAAGCTGATACCTCCTACCCTCATATTTCTATAGTCTATATAAATTTGTGGAAGGGGGAGTATAATCAGCAATGGTTTCCATACTTTTCTCTTTTCCTACATTGCAGACTTAAAACTTTTTGGAAAATTTGGGTGTCTCTTTTTTAACAATTGGTAGATTGTAATTATAATTTCCCATCTTACTCTTTCTAGTCTTATAATAAAAAAAATAAATTAACTATTTGGTCTTACATATTAATCTAATTCATCTCAAACTTTTTTAGTATGTTTTACTTGATATAATGCACACACATACACACAAAATTACCTCTCTTGGTGGTGACTACATTTGAATATATATATTTTTTCTTACAAATGCAGTGGCCGCAATGTTCCTGGGAATGGATTTACCAGGATTGAATCTTCCTGGCCCATGGAAAACCTATGCAATGATTGGATTTGTAGCCTGGCATGTTGGGACTGAGATTGTTCTGGAGATACATGCTTACCGACTCTCTCGAAATGGTAACCTGCTCAACAAGCCATGTTATGTAGAATCACTTTTATACAAACTATTGAAATATAATTACTTTCTTGATCTTAATGGTTGACTACTACATGGTAGCTCACTAAAAATTTCTGTTGTGATTACTCAGTCAGTGGTAGAAATTGTGGAAATTTTCTGCCTTTGCTTTTTATATTCACTAGTATTAGATTTTGTGAGTAAAATAGAAGGGAAAGATTTTAGGTTTAGGGACGAAGTCTTCTTTGTCAGTACTTTCTAGTTTGCATGCTGGTCTGACTGGGAGCCAGTATGCACTAAGAACTGTGAATGCCTGGAGCTGAGAAAACTCTAAGATGGAGGAAGAAGAGATGCCCAAAGTCAACACAGGGCAGAGCTGCACACAAATTTTACCTATTTGACACACTTACTGTGTGCTGTCACATAGGCTGCCATATATATCATATATAGCCAGCTAACTAGTGAGCTAGATAGGAAGGTCTTTGCCCGAGCTCTCTAGTGGTAAGGTCCATTTTGGTCTTGGTGCCAGGCAGGGTCAAGATACCTACCTAGAGCCATCAGGAGTGGAGAGATTAGTAGAGAATGGGTGACATTTTAAACTAGCTTGGATTCTGGGCTAAGTGTCCTTTGTGTCCTATCTAGTTTTCACACCCCCAAATGATAAGTAAAGGTGGCCTTCTAAAAACAAAACCTCTTTGTTGTTTAGTGTATATATCGTGAGTTTAGGAGCCTGGGTGGCTTTTAGGAGCTGAGTAGTAAATGTCTCTACTGCCGTTTTTGGTTCTTGGTAGGGTTACATACATGGGGCTTTTGACAACCACTGAATTATGGCTTGCTGTTTAAAATACATATGTTCTTAAACCTTGGGCTGTTAGGGCTTTGATCTGGTGTTTATTGACTAGAAGAAGAAGGCATATTTTAAACCCCTTGACAAATGTGTGCTGTAGCCAGCTCGTCCCAGTTTGTGAGAACCTTAAATATTCAGGAAGTTTGCAATATTTGGTAGCCTGAAAGGGGAGAATGTACACCTTGGATATCACTAAACGCTACAAATCGGGGCTTTTTTTGAGAGTTAGTTTACCTGCATGCCACTGGCCTTGTAAACTTATGTTTTTGTTCTTGACAGGTGAAATACTGGATGACGCTAGAATTCAGATCCTCCAGTCATTTACTGTAGCTGAAGCAGAAGTGAGTTTTTCTTTTTTAATTGACACACACTTCAGTGATAGCTGTTTCTTTCTTTCATATCTCAATTTGTCTTTCAGGGTCATGCTTTTAAAAAGGCAGTGTTAGCAATTTATATCTGTGGGAATGTGATTTTTCTCATCATATTCTTATCTGCAATCAACCGCCTATGAGCAAGCAAAGACCTTGGCTTTGCAGACCAGGTGATGATTATCATCAAGCCCAAGAAACTTGAAACCTGTACTGACTGCCCGGAGCCTATTCGTGAATTCTAATTTAGAAGACCAGGTCACGTCTATAGAGGAATTCTGAAGTCTGGTCTTTGGAGATCAACATTCAGCAGGGTCTTATGGATTATAAAGTGATGTCAAGCCTTTAAGTGTAATTCTGAGCCTTAAAGGGAAGGTTGTATTGGAGGAGAAATGACTCTCAAATATTTTTATGCTGAGATTTTAAGAATGTTAGCATTAAAGAAAGTAAACAAGAACTATTTGGAAAACAAAAAAGATATCATTAGGATAAAAAGGAGATTGTATTAAGGTAAATATATTTTGGACTATAAAGGTGCTGTGGTACTTGAAAGAAAACACTTATTTTTACTAGTTTATCTGAATGGTCTTTATTAGGACTTTTTGAGAAACTATGTTTTTCAGTCCAGTTTTTTGGACATGTGCTTTGCTCTATGTGTTTTGTTACTTCTCTGGTAAAGATGGAAGTGGGGCTGACCCCATTGTAGGTTTCATTAACATTTAAATATATTATGAATGTTATAATTTTTTTCTTAGCTTGAAATGCAAGTATGCATCCTCTGCTTAAAGACTGTCTTTATATATTCAGCTACAGGGCTGAAATGGCATTTTATATGTTAGTTGTTTTGACTATAAGATTTAAGTCCCATAGCCTTTGGAGATTGTAGACTTGCATTTCAAAATTAATAAATCTCACCCTCGTGACCATGTCTAAGCTATTCTCTTTCCTTACGGTAATAAAATAATATGGGTGGTTCTGTTTTGTTAGAAGTTTCTAGTGCTCGAACGAATAAGAGCAATCAATCAACGTTATTTTTCCTTCCTATTTCAATAATTTATCTTCTATCTTATGGCTGGGGCTTGCATTTGCTATGAGGACTTCTAGCCAGTGGGTGGTGCCATAATACCAAACTACTGCTTCTTGAATCCTTGTGCTGTGATTCATTTTTAGTGTTTAGATATAACATCATGGGATGGTATTTTCCTTAAAGTCCACCAACTCTTAATCTTTATTTGAAAAAATTTTGCCTTTTTTGGGGAAGGGGGAGTCGGGGTTATGGGTTAGAAACTGAATTTGGGGACCAGTGTTGTTATTTTCTGGCTTTATTTTTGTTCGTTTTCTAACCATAATTATTTGTAACAATTGTTTGATATTTTCCTTTACATTCCTATGACCTTATAACAAATGAATACAGCCATCTTAGGCAAAGGAAACAAGCAAAACTGGACATTCTTAAAATAAAAAAGTTTAGGGAGGCATATTGTATTTCTTTAAGTCTTCTTTCTGATTATGTTATAGTTTCTGCTTGGCCCAAGGACCTAATTTCTCTCTGGTGTAAGTAACAGCCTCAGCCGTGTATCCTGCATCTTTTACTGAGTAAAACAACATGGAAGTTTTGTTTGTTTTTCCTTATATAGGGGTTTATCATAAGTAGCTTTGGGTTGAGAAGTGAACTTTCTGTGTACATGTTCTATAAGTCAGGCTACTTACAGTCTAAACTTTCTTTTTGAATGTCTTTATTAAAAAATGTTTTTAGTATAGAAAATTAAATGCACACTAAAATATTTTCCTCCAGTTTTTAATTCTAAGGAGCTTAAAGGATAATAAATTTCTCTTAATAAATTCTTTTAAGGAGAAGATGAACCTTGATATTTTGGCTTTCAAATATATGAACTTTCTGGATTTCCAGTGCTGAGGCTAAGATATTTTAACTTTTTCTTTTTCACTGATTCATCTGTTAGCACTATTTTGATATATCATCAATTAATATACAGAGCTGTCCAAAGAAGTCTTTGTCATGTAATCTTTATAGACCAAACCTTTTCAATAATACCAAATTATGATTATTCTGCTTATGATTGGTTGATATCCATAAATTGAAAATACTGATTCTTCACTCCTCTCGATTTTTCTTCTTGTTTTTGTAATGAACAATCTGGGTTTTTTTGTGTGTGTGTGTGAGGAAGATCAGCCCTGTGCTAACATCTGCCAATCCTCCTCTTTTTTTCCTGAGGAAGACTGGCCCTGGGCTAACATCCGTGCCCATCTTCCTCTACTTTATATGGGACGCCGCCACAGCATGGCCTGACAAGCAGTGTGTCGGTGCATGCCCGGGATCTGGACCAGTGAACCCTGAGCCATGGCAGCGGAGTGCGTGCACTCAACCACTTGCGCCAGCGGGCCGGCCCCTGGGTGTTGTTTTTTAAAAAAATTTCTTTTGATAAGAGTGGTTGTTAAACTAAATGCCTTTATATCTTTAGCAGTCTTGCCCCAACAGTGAGCAAAATCGTGAATTTTCTTCTTAAAGATGGATTCCTCTATAAAATAAAAATAAGTATGTTATTTGGAAAAAATGAAACAAATTGTAGAAAATCGTGGTTGAGATAGCATTCAACAGCAAGGCTATTTTTATTTTTATTATTTTCTGGCCTGTGGAAATCAATCTTAAGGGCATAGTTAGCCTATGGCATAAGTTATTGAGTAAATGAGTCAGATTCACTTTAGTGCTTACTTGGCTTTATCAGGATTTTGGCTCTAAAGTGTGTTAAGTGATATTCATCCTTTCCACATCCTGCCCCAGTCCAGGACGCAGTGGGAAAAGGCAGATGCAGCAGACGCCAACCAGGAAGCTCTAGGGGCACGTGTAGCTTTTGGCTGAAATTCTATTTATCTGTAAACTCTGATGAAGGAGAAGAAAAAAAAAAAAAAAGAACGAAGGTCATGGTTTAAGATTATCCATTGTAGATGGGAATGAAAGAAAGGATTCTTCTAAGTCTTTTCAAATATGATTGGGATACACACTGTCTCTGTCCACATCCTGCTTCTTTCCTCCTTGCCCAGCCGCCACCAGGCTCATCACTGAAGGTCACCTACCTGGAATGCCCTTTAGGTTCCTCTCTTCCCAGCAAAAGCTAGTTTATCAAGTTCTGGCTCAGTTCTTCCTTGTCCTTGGAGCCTTCCAAGACGCTCTCTCCCTTATGGGTTTCTCCTTGTCCTGACCATCCTTATAAATGGGGTGGTGGTGGGCTGGGAGGCAGCTGATCCTGTAAATTAAAAAGGACTGGGAGTTTGGGAGTGGAGCTGGAAGACCTGAGCATGCATGTTTGATTTATAAGCTGCACGTCCTTGTGCAAGTCACTTACCTTCTCTCAGCCTCACTCCTTCTTCTGTAAAGCCCATCTCACAGGGCACTTGTGAAGAGTGAGTGAAGTGATGCCAGCAAAATGTGCTTTGTACATGTTGTTGACGATGTCGTTGCTGTTTGATTACAGTGTTGGACTTTAGTAGTTTTACATATAAACTGTGTATTTTTTATTTTATAAAAAAATTTGATGTTCACCTTGAAAACATTGTTCTAAGTGAAATAACCAGACACAAAACATTGTATGTTTTTATTTATTTGAGGTACATAGATTAGTCAAGTTCATAGAGATAGAAAGTGGAAGAGAGGGAGGAATGGGGAGTTATTGTTTAATGGGTACAGAAATCTGTTTGGGATGATGAAATAGTTCTGGAGATTGATAGTTGTGATGCTTGCACAAACAACACTGAATGTACTTAATGCACTGAATTGTACACTTAAAAGTCATTGAAATGGTAAATTTTGTGTTATGTATATTTTACTACAATAAAAAAAAACAGAAAAAAAATTTGATGTTCATAGCAGCACTATTCACAATAGCCAATGATGGCAATAGCCCACATGTCCATCAACAGATGAATGCATAAACAGATTATGGTACATACATACAATGGAATATTATTCAGCCATAAAAAGGAGTGAAGTACTGATACATACTATAACAGGGATGACCCTTCAGAACGTTATGCTAAGTGAAAGAAGTCAGACACAAAAGGTCACATATTATGATTCAATTTATATGAAATATCCAGAATAGATAAATTCATAGAGACAGTAGAGCGGTGGTTGCCAGGGGCTTGTAGGGGGAGGAGGAGAGAATGGGGAGTAATTGCATAATGGGTATTTGATTTTATTGTGAGGTGAGGAAAATGTTTTAGAGAGAGAGAGAGGTGGTAGTCATACAACAATGTGAATGTAGGAAATGACACCAGATTGTCCACTTTAAAGTGGTTATTTTATGTTATGTGAATTTCACCTCAGTAAAACAAATTTTTGTCTTACTACTGCTCTTGGTTATACCCCTAGTCTAGGGGTGAGAAAGTTCCTAGAGCGTATTTTTAGAAGTATATCTTGTTCATATGATATCTTATTCACACGTAAAAGAAATGGTATTGTACTCTACATTTCCTGTAAGGACCTAAATAAATGTTTTGATTCCCAATCAAACACTGATATATGGTAATCAAACTCTTGGAATAAGAATTTCCTGAACCCATGCTTTCTAAGTATGCGACTTCCACTGCCAGAAATGGGTGAGTAACATCCTGCCAAACCGGCTCTTCCAGGAAACTAGTGTAAACCTCAAAAAGCAGCTGCCTGAAGGCCCCAGTGAATAGAAGTAGGAAGATTCTGGGGAGGAGTCCACACTCAGAGGAGGAATAGTGTCTGGAGTTCTCTGTTTTCACTGTTTTTAGCTTCAGGACAGTTGTAGTCAGCTGTGTGTGTGGTGCTGGGTGGCAGGGAAACTGCAGTGTTTCTGGCATAGGAAACTAGAGGACTGATGTCTGGGCCAAATACAGCTGTCAGGGAGCGGGAGGGGAGGCGATCCTGGAAAGGAAAACACTAGAGAGGGGATCCCAATTCCTGTCTGCCCACAGCTCTGGTTGATCCCTGAACTTGTTCACATGCACGAAGCAGACACAAAGCAGCTAGACCGAACGAAAAAAGTTGATCTGAGGTTGGAGGTGGAACACAGGAAACAGAATTTGCAGTCCAACCCGGTTAATTGCCTGCTACAGCAAAAGAAGCAACATTCATTGGAGAAAAATAAGGGAACCCAGTATTTTTATAACCTAATATTTTATGCTATACAGATGACAATCCAAAATTACCTGACATAAGAAGAACTAGAAAACTCTCGCCCATTCTCCAAAGCAGAGATAGGCTAACTTTTTCTCTAAAGGGCTTGATAGGAAATATTTTAGGCTTTGTGGACCACATATAGTCTCTCTTCCATAATTTTTTTTTTTTATTTTTACAAACCTTCAAAAATATGAGAAACCATTCTTAGCTTGTGGGCCATACAAAAATGGATATTTGGCCTATGGGCCATAGTTTGTTCTTTTTGTCAACCCCTGCTCTAAACAAAGAACAATCAATGGAGACCAATCTTTGAGATTTCTTAGATGATTCGATTCAGGAGATAAGGGTTTTAAAGCATCTATTATAACTATTCTTGATGCTGTAAAAGAAAATATACTTGCTATAAATAAAAAGATGCATAGAAATAGAAACAATACAAGGGACTATATGGAAATTAGAGAGCTGAAAAAGTAAAGTATTTAAAAAATTCACTGGAGAGAATTAATATCAGAATGGAGATGAGAGAAAATAGAGCAAATGAACTTGAAGATAGATAAATAGAAATTATCTAATGTTTGAAAAGAAGAAAGAAAACATTTTGGAAAAGAACAGAGTCTCAGGGACTTGTTAAATGATAGCATCTTTTAGTATTATCTCAGAAGGAGGGGAGAATTTGAGGAAATAATTACTGGAATATCCTCAAATTTGCTAAAAGGCTTAACTTTCCTGATTCATGATACAGGAAAACAACTCAAGCAGGAAAATATGAAGACAGTCATGCTTATGCAAATTATAGTTAAACTCTTGAAGGCAAAAAATACAGAGCAATCTTGAAAGGAAAAAGAAAAACGAAACCTTACATACAAGGGAACAATGATTTGGTTAACATCTGACTTCTCATAGGAATTTTTGGAGGCCATAGAAAATGAATAACATCTTTAAAGTGCTGAATGAGAAAAAAAAAGTCAACAAGGATTCTATATGCAGAAAAAATATCCTTCAAGAATGAGGGCAAAAATGAAAACATTTTTGGATGAAAGACATCTAAGAGAATTTGTTGTTAGCACATATGCACTACAAGAAATGCAAAAGTGAAGAGAAGTGATACTAAATGGGAACACGAATCCTCAAAAGGAATGAAGAGCACTCAAAATGGTAAATAATCTGTCAATATAAACCCTTTTCTTGAATTTTCCTACTTAAATTCTTTATAATAGATATATCTGTTTAAGGCAAAGAAAGGTCTACATTGTTTTGTAGCATTTATAATGTATGCAGATGTAATACATATAGCAAGTTAGCATTTAGGATGGGAAGGAATAACGGACCTGTATAGTTGCAAGATGTGTGCATTTTACATAATGTTATACAATGCTAGTTCTAAGTGAAAAGTTTTAAGTTCTAATGTGAAAAGTTAAGGATGTATATGGTAATTTTTAGAGGAAAAAAGCAATAAAAAGCAAAAGCCAATAGAAAAATTAACATGGGATTCTAAAATTATTTAAATAATTTGAATAAAAGGGCAGGAAAGGAAAAATAAAGGAGCAAAAACCAGAGGGGACAAATAGAGAACAAA